GTCAGACACTAAAAAAAAATCAACAAACAAGTACCATTTCATTTCCTTTTAGCTGGACATATTTCCCGAAGTGAGGGAACTCCCGTCACTCACAGAGGTAGGCACAGAGAGCAAACCAGCAAAAGAAAGGAGTGTGTTTGCCAGAGCTGCAAATTATTACTTATAATCTTATAAGATCCTCGGAGTATATCTGGTGGGTGCAAAAGCATAGCTGTATGATATGCAGCTGTTTCAAAACACAGAGACTCGGGAGGAATTTCTGGGTTTGGTTCACATACATCTGCACTTCCTGAATTTTTCTAGGCCTTGTGGGTTATTGGTTTAAGTATTTCCTAAACAGTGACAGTGCAAAATAGTGGAAAGTGAAGCCTCTGGGAGGTGAGCCTGCAGCCTGAATGATGTCAAACAAACCTCCAGGCTCCAAACAGCCTTGTGCAGGGCTGAGCGTTTACCAAACCCACTGGCCTTTGCCTTGCAAAACCACCAGAAAACCACCAAGTGCCACAGCGTGGCAGAGCTGGGCGCTTCTTGTCCCACTTCATCACCGTGTGTGCAAGCGTAACAACAGTTGAAACTGCTGGTTGGGAAAAAGCAGAGACTCGGATCTAGGCAACGTGCTCTCCATGGGATAATCCCATGCGATGGATTAGCAGCATCTCCCTTAGCAGATTCTTAGCTGCAAGAAACTTTGCACAATATCCTTTCCAGAAAAAAAAAGCCTCAAATGGCTTTTGTAAAACCTCCACTGGGTATGCGATAGCCTGGAGTCTCATGTGCTAAAACAAGTAGGTGGTAGTCTGAGTCCCTCTCTAGGGGAAACTCAGCGTTTGAGGGCTGATGCATCGTAAATGCCATATGAGTGAAAACATTGGGCCCTAATTCTGTCTTAGCTCCATGTGACAGGAGCTGTGGAGTCAGCAGGCCAGAGCCGTACATGACTGGCTCCTTTTGCTCATATGGATCTAAAATACAAATCCAAATGGATTTGCTCCTATCTGCCTCGCCTCACACTTGGCTCCCTGACTTGGGAGTTTCACACACTGCAGAAGTGGGATTTGGCCCAATGATAGGTTTCATTTCATCTCTCAGCAGATTTGTGGTCTAACACTCCAAGATGTGCAGCATAACACGCTGGCAATCTGTCACTCTCCTGGCTCTTGTCAACTCCAACAGCTTGCTGAGAGAAAACAGTGCTAAAATAGATGCCAGTCCGACCTGAGGGACTTGGGAAGCCTTGCCTGCGCGCAGCCGAAAGCTGTGCCTGTCACAGCACGTGCATTCCTGCTCCACTTGGCTCCTCCATCAACCCAGCAGGCTGGGACCAGCCCTGGGCTTTCCTGGTTACTGTCGAAGCTTCTCAACTTATCAAATCTTCATGGCAAGTTGCCCTCCCACTGCTGAGGCTTCACACTACTCTCTCTTTGGTGGACCAGCTCACTTGGCACACTGGCTGCTTGTGAACCCCCAAGACTGCAATTAGGGCTCTTAGCACTTGTGCACCCTGAATATAAGCGGCTCCCCTCTGGACCATCTCTGCATTCCTCACACTGAAACCTCTAATCAGGCCAAAACACTGGCTTGGAACAGCTTGAAATGGGAACTCTGTGACTCTAGTCTGCAGCTCAGCAATTCCTTGTTTGGTTAGACTTGAAAAGCTGAAATGCTGGGGATAGCTGAGTTAATCTGTTAGATTAGCAGTCCGAGTTTGTTCCTTCAAGAGAACTTCTCTAGAGACCACAGGGACCCATGTACATGAAAGGATGTGGCGTTGGTGCCTTGCCTCACCATCTGAGTGCTTTCCAACAGTAACGAACACTTACAATGCTGACATCGCTGCTTAAAGCAAATCTGTAGAATTATAATGCACGAACAAATAACGGAGGACATAAACCAGAAAAAAAGAGCCAGATTCAATATAAACCAAAATGCTGATGAAACAGTACATCAGTGTCCTCTGCTCTGCAGTGAGGTGGGACCTAGAAGAGGAGACAGAGCCTCTTCTTAGGGTACTGACTGAAATTCAACCCGTGACAGCAGTAAGCGGCAACCACTGCTGTAAGGTAACAACAAATGAGTTTTGTACCTATTTGTTTGTCTTTCTCATATTCACATGGCTTCCATGAATATCTGAGCCAACGGCAAACAGAGCCTTGGGACCTGCAGCACTTCAGCGTCTCCAAGAGGCTGTTTGCGGGAAGCAGATTTACAATTCAGAAATGGAAAAATTTCATGTTTTGGTTGTAACCACAAATCCAGGAATTAGCTGCGAGTAACTGGCGCAAAGAGCCACAGACACCAAGTCTGCCAAAGCAACGCACGGGCAGCATGCAAACAGAAGGCAAATTCACCACTGAGCAATGCCTTAAGGGGTGCTTAGCCATCTGCCATAATCTCAGGCAGGTTTGAGAAATGCACGGGCAGGCCTCACTCCAGGATATCACTGTCTGCTGAAATCCATCAGAAAAGATGCTCTGTGAATAGTATGAAAACGAAGAAGCGAATGAATCACTGCTATAGCAAGAGTATTTTCTGCTGCTACCCATTCCAGGTTGTCTTTGACCAAGGTGGCAACTGCTGTTCTCCTGGGTTGTCCTGGCAGAAACTGGGGCCCGGAGCCTCCCAGCACTGAGTGCTTCATCTCCTGTCTGCGAGCTGAGTTTGCCCTCTGCTGTTTGCTGGATAAACTGTTCCCTCTGGTTAATCCAGAAAGGGAGGGTAAGAACACCAAGAACTGAAGAACCAGAATGGTTACCCCCAGATCTCAGATACTTAAGTTTAAAAATTGTGACACTTAATAAAAGTGACACCCACAAAAGGGGAATATCTTTATCTGTGACTTTAGCAGACACTTTATTTTCTCAAGCTTTTCTTTATAACCACAGAGACCAGAAACGTTTTTTTCCATTTCCTGCTAAATAATTGCCAATATTCAGAATTAAGCCCACTGCTCTCTTGAGACAAGGGATTCAGGTGTGGCAGAGAGCGCAGCTGAGAGCAGGACCAAAGGCTGGGTGAGATGACAGCGGAAGGTGTGAGGAGAGGTGCCCTGGGATGACAAGAGGTGCTCTGCAGTGAGGAAAGGTGTCCTGTGATGAGGACTCAGATAGGTCTGCTTTCTCCCCCTGCTCTGGCACTATATCCTCTCTCCATCCCAGAGCTGTGGAGCCGCTTCCACGCGCAGGTGAAGCACTCCCTGGGTGACCCAGGTTGGTCACCCTGCTCCTCTGCTCCCTGCCCTCTCCTCTGCAGCCATCCAGCCCTGGGAGCGGTCATTGCCCGGATGCCAGACACCCTGGAAAGGACGCAAGGGCTTGTCAAGAAAGCTGCTGGCATCCTGCCACGTGTTTTCAAGCTGAGATCAGCCTTCAGGCTCCTCTTGTTGCTGTTTGTCTGCTCTGTTCCTAACAGCCTCTCCTGGTCCTGTCGCTACCGTCGCCCTGCACAGAGGGGCTCAAACAAAGGTGTGGCGATGGTTGATGGCTGGCTGGGCTGCTGAGACTCCTCTTGATGTCCTCCCGCACCTCCCAGTGCTCATGGGCAGGGCAGGGACTGCCCTGGTGCTTGTCTCAGAGGAACTTTGCATTCCCAGCTGGTGCCAGGGAGCTGGTGCCAGCGGATGGCTCAGCCCAGGGAAGGAGCAGCGAGTGGGATGCTCAGGGCTGAGATCTTGCTCACATCTCCCTTTGGAAGTGGCTTCTGGGATTAGCCCCCGTAGCAAGACTGCAGCCCTCCCACAGATCACCTCTAAAGGGCTTTGCTAGGCGCTTTTGCACAGCTCCGAAGTGGAGACTGTTCCATGCATGGATGAGGCTTCAAAAGGTAAGTGTTCACCAGGCAGTAACAGGGGAACATGGGCAGGCGCTGACTTTCTTGACTCTCTGATCATACAGTCATTGCCTCAGGTGAGAGTGCTAGACTCCTGAACTCCCAAGGCAGCTCCTTGGGGTGTACTGACCCAGAGCTGGACTTTTACCAGTAGTGTTATATCCCTGCCTCTTCTCATAAGGCTGAGAAAACTAATGATAACAGGTAACATTTGCAAACACCACAGATATGTAAATGATGAGGGTCTTTCTGGGCAGTCAGCAATTATAGATGAGAAAAAAAAATAGGCATAAAAATGAACTAGGCTGTTCTCAAAGGGCAGCAATGACTAGTCCTTTTGCACGGTTATTTCAGACATGGATATCAAGTAAGCAGAGCTCTAGCATAGCTGAAAGATGGATAACAGTTTTGCATCTGAAGAATTAGATTCTCTATCTGGTGTCTGGGTAATGAGCTTCCATTTTCCTCTGTACGGTCATAGCAGAGACTTGGATAACTTTATTTTAAACCAAGGATTTTTATCACTTATTGAAAGACTTTAGTGCTTAGTTTAATCTGTATTGCATGACTTCAGACATAATGGAGCAAATATTTTGAAGCCTAGATAGTGTTGGACAGTTTCATAACTGTGCTTGTAGCTCTTACAGCAACACCAAAACTCCCCATTTCGTGCTGCTTTTGAATAGAAAACTGCTCTATGAATCTTCCTCAGCCTGAAGTCATCCAGACTCAATTACTGTTGAATGTATGCAGTAAGTAACTCTAGGAGCTTCCCTCTATCTGACGTGTGGCTTTGTTTCTTCTGTAAAAAGACACGAGCCATCACAAGTAATCCTGTACAGTTCTTTTGTAAATAACTACTACCGAATAGGACTGAACTGGGAAATTCAGTTCAGTCTTTCTTAAACACATTCAAAACAAGCAGCTAGTATCAATGAGAATTTTGCTGAATAAGCATTAACATAGCTCAAAGAACATTAGCTCTGATGGAATCAAGCACATATTGAAAAAAAAGCCACATATAAAAGCAGTCCAGACACAATTTTTCAGGAGCAGTTCTGTGTTTCAGCCACCAGCTCTATAATCTGTTCTGTCTTGGGCACGAGGGGAAATTGTCTATAGTGAAGACACGTGTGAAGAGATGCTAAAACATGTCTTTTATCTCTTGCTTCTGCAGATGTGGCCTCGGCTTGGAAGAGTCTTCAGAAAGCCAAAGCAGTGGTACGTGCAGTTCAGGGAACACTTGCTGTCACATGCCTTTATCAGCTACCTGTGCATCACCTCCACAGAGTTTTCCTTCATGGAAATAATGTAACAGAAAGCAATGTAAAACTGCCATTTTGTTTGTTCTTTTGCAACGAACATATAATATCTTTAAACATTTGCTAAATGACCAAAAAAAAAAAAAAAGGATAAGGAGAAAAGTAAGGAATCTTACCAAATTCCACAACACTCTTCAGAATTAATGACACAAACAGATAAAGGTTTGACTTGCATGTGGTTGCAACCCTGAGCAGAGTAATAGCTGATACTCACTGAGCTGGGACATCCTCTGAAATCCCCCTGTCTTACTGTCCGCTTAGTAGAAAAGATAATAATGTTTCTACCAGGCACAACATCTGCAATGAGAGCAGTGAAATTGCTCGGATGAATGCATAATGGTATCCAAACGCACGCAGCGCTGCTCGCGCACTCAAGGCCTGACACCAGTATCACACTGGTGGAGTTGCTGTTGGCTGGGGTTACTTCCAGTTTACACCGTTTTTAGAAAGAGTTAGCTCTGCTAAAATTTGAGGCACGCATACATACAAAGTTAAATAATGGAGAGAGGTGATTTCATCTCTTATCTTTCCAGTCAACGGCATTCTTTCCAACTGTAGGAAATACCACACGGAACGTGCTCAGACGTGCCAGTATTTACAGAGTAGCTAGGAGCTGCAAAATTAATCAAAGAAGCAGTGTGTGCCAGCAAAAGGCTACCACGTAAAAAAAAAAAAACCACATATGTCTCCCTTCAAAAGAAAAATCTGCCTTTTCACAGCTACAAAGGATTGAAAACAAATTTTATCATCAAACATGGAGTTGTGCCAAATCACAGGCAGCCAGAAGAAATCTTTGGCATGAAAAAAGCTTCGGTGAGTTCTGAGTTACTGGGAAACTGCTGAGATGAGGGGAACTGCTTTGGTGCTGGAGGGAAAGGTAGGTGAATGATAGAAGTGAAAGGACCTTTTTACTGATGAAAGTGTGTGTTTTCATCAGCTTTCTACTAATGTTCCCAGAAGAGTATCACAATGCACAAGGAGTCACACCTTGCTGGAGAGAGCTCAGGCAAAAGATGCAGCATTAATACCCACTAGCTACAGCAAAGTAAAAGCTACTTGTGCTTGTCCTCTGAGGGTTTTTTTCCTGGAGATAGCTGAAGTGATATAAATACAGCATTTTGTTTGTTTCGTTTTGCAGGAAATGCTTAATGTGTTGAAAATAATCCCTAAAAGACAAAGTGGGATAGGAAAAAAGCAGGAAACTTAACCAAATTCCATTAGACTCTACTAATGACAAGAGCAGACCTCACTTATTATTTTTGCATCTGCTGGGTATTTGTTTTTGAGATGGCTTATTGTCTGGGAACAGTTTAAGCTGCCAGCCTTTAGTATTTAGGGCTGCTTTTTCCTCCCCAAGCCGTAGGGCTCTGCGCTGTGCTCGTGCAGATGGCTCACTGCCTGGACCCCAGTAACAAGGACAGCAAGAGAGGTGTGTTGAGTCGATCTGTTAGAAGCTTTGGTCGACCTTGTGGTTTTGCATGTGAATCTTTTTACTTTCTCCCAAGCTAGTTGAACAAGGAAGGAAAGATGAGAAGAATGTTTGTCATTGGGTTCAAATGACAGGGGCATGATGTGACCTGCTGGAGCACATTTTCATACCGTACACTACGGCACTCAGGTAGCTGGGACACGGTACTAAAGGCAGCAAGAGTTTCTGTGGAAGCTTGTAACCAAATACTCAGTCTGCCCTGCAGACCTGGGTGACATGGAGACAGCATACACAGAGTTTTACACCAAAGAACAAACTCACTTTTCCATCCCAGGACTGCAATGCTGGCAGGCTCCCTACCAACTTTGACTGCAATTGCATCCGGGTGTCCAAAGGGCCGGATTTGGTTGGGGAATAGTCTACAGTAAAAGGAACTGGTTTAATCTAATGGTTAAGGAATATTTTTTGACATTTTGACACTGACTTAATTTTGCTACGCTGTAGATGGTGAGAGGAACAAAGATGAAACAGCTTTGAATGAGAAAAAGAGCAATGAGAGTCCTTCAGCCTGCAGGTAAATAATAACCTTAATGTGCAGCACTCGGTGGATGAAGAGACAAGGGCATGCATGAAAGGATTTAAAATTCTGGGAAGCAGGACTTCAGAAAAAGTTTAGCACCTTACTATTTATTACAAAAAAAGAAAAAGTCACCAAATAATTTCACTCTCAGAAACACTGACCAACAAGCCAGTGGAACAAGCCATCAATTCCGTGTTAGTCTATCTGCCCATGCTTGTAATAACTCTTATCAGACCACAGTTTTGCACTTTCCTAATATTATCTGAGTTTGCCAAACTGCTGGTAACTGGCAAAATGCTGATATGTGGAGACACTGAGATCATCATCGGAGCATGTTGTAGAAACTCTGCATTCATTCACATTAGCAGTCTATTGAATAATTTAATAATACACCCTGCATATTCAGTCTTGTCTGTCTTTATTTTTTTTTTTTTTTAAGAAACTGTGCTGCTCTCTCCCCTGCTTGGTCACAGACCTGTTTCCTCGAAAGCCCTGCTGTGAGCTCTGGCCCCTCCAGAATGGTCCCTCTGTCCCTCGGGGGAGAGTCACGCTCAGCCCCTTGCAGCCCTGCCAGGGGGGAGGCTGTGGATGGCAAAGGCACACCTGGGACACCATCTCCTGCAGAGAGTCTGTACAGATCAAGAAGGGAGCAGGCAGAATCAAGAGGTTGCACAGTACAAAAGGAAAAATCTCCTTGCTCTCTGCGTCACTCACCTCACTCCCTTGCAGGGAGTGGTCCATTCTCAGCTGTCCTGCTCCCTACGTACCACTGCTCATCAGCCAGCAGGCCCAGGGATCAGAAACGGGAAGACTTGTGGAGAAAATCACCCCCAAAAAAGTTAGAGCAACTCAAGAAGAGAATCCAAGAGCAGAAGCAAAAGCAGCAAGCAGCATCTCAGGAGCTGAAGTGCCTGATTTCTGCCTATGCTGAAGAACCACTGCAAAAAAGACCCTTGAAGAGAAAGGTGTGCAAAATGGCATCCGTTCCTCCTGCTCCAGTTTACAGAGGTCAGTAGTAGTCTGGCATCTACAGAGAAAGGCTGAAACTGTGCGTTACCTGGCCGTGCTTTGGCACAGCTGAATAGCCAGCCGCAAAGCTTCCACCCCGCGCTTCGGTGTATGTTGGGCAGAAACCGTCCGTGTTCGTGTGATGAATTCATTTACTGCTGCAGCCCTTGGGGAACTATAAACCTCCCTGCGCTGTACATATCCACCTGCTCACTGAGTTCACTTCTCTGCTGGATTTACTCCCCAGCAGGCACATATGGATACATTTCTTTCCATGTAATAGTAAAGAATTTTCTACAAATATATTCCTTTCTCCCCTCTCTTCCCACATTGTATGTTTTTTGCCAGATATAAAGCATGAAGTGGGAAATAGCAGCACAGTAGGGTGGATAGACATCACAGGTATTTAAAGCAGAAATTGTGTAGTTCAGAGGCATTACAAGGGATTTAGCAGTTCATTCAGTGAAACTAGTGTAGATCTGAACGCGAGTATTGTTAGACTGCCTTATCCTGCTTTGCTGCTAAATTTGGACCTGAAGTATCATTCATCTACAGCTGTCACTTCAGTTCAGTGTGATTGAAGATCTCAGGCTGCTGTGTGTAATGCATGGACTCGGAGCAAGGACTGCCTGCGGCTAGCCCCGTTAGCCTGCCCGCTTGCCAATCCCTTCAGGCAGTGGGGGATTACTGAGGGTGTATGGGACTAGAGGAGGCGAGCTGAAAAGCTGTACATAATATATCTTATTGCTATAATAGCATTAGCGTTAATTCGTTGGGCGCTACAATCCCGGCTACACACCACCAGCTTCCACGGGCATTTCCCTTAGATTTGATTTTGTCACAGTGCTCCCCTTGGGTCCACGGGAGCACATGTCTGTGCTGCCATCTCCCCCTTTCAGCTGAACCAGGCAGTGCTTTCAGTCAGCGCTGCACAGCGTTACCCCTCCTAACACCCAGAAGCCAAAGCCACAATCCCTGCTGGGCCTCTTTTGAACATTCTCAGGGGGAAGGCTAGTTTAGTTTGGTTTTAACCCAGATCATTTTACATAACGGAGCTAGGGAACTACCAGACAAACAGTTCAACTTGCAGAACAGAGGCAGCTTCTGAAGATGAACAGCTCCAAACGCTTGGTTCGGATGCAGCTTGTTCAGTTTGTCTGACTGTACTCTACAACGTGAAAAAAAGTGTGTCACAGCTGCTGTGCTAGGTATGACCTCTGTCAGATATCTGCAGTCTGGCCTAGGGAACCTGATTCTGCTTTTCACACGTACAGAATTTCAGCACTATCGGGTACCAGCATTTACACAGCTCGTTGTAGCCTAACAGGTTTCAAATGTCTGTTTGTCTAGGTTTTAGTGCTGTGAACCCGAGGTCTGCTCTTTCCTTGTCTGATGAAGAGCACAGAATACGAGGCAGAGAAGAATTTACCATCCCTGGACAAGGGAAGAATTATAAAAAAGCCCCCAAGATCCCAGGTTAGCAATGCCGTATCATAACAGCCTTTTACAACTTGCCCAAGAATGCAGTGTTTCTGCAGAGGAAGGTGAGTCTGGATCTCCAGAGGGACACCAAGGGGAGGGTGACCCCCTGCACCCCCTGGATGTGCCAGTTGGGTCAGGGCCGTTTGCGTGATACACTGTTGTGTGGGTAGATGGGGTCACAGACATGACCCCAGAGATTCAGGCCCATGCTTGCTTTGCTGGGACATCTCCAGCACCACAAAAAAAGGAGTCCTGCTTGTTCAGCGACCAGCGTCATTAAAAAGACTCCTGCTTTTGTGTTCCAAGTGAATGGGACTGGGTTGGGTTTGCTGGTAACAGTAGACGTGTCTAAAGTTTGATTTTAGCTGCACACTAATTATTTCCTGTGTTTTTTTTTTTTTCCTCCTGACTAAAGACCAAAGAGAGAGAAGCTCAGCATGGAGAATTCAAGCGGAAAGCCAGAGGCAGCCTTCACCCAAGTCCTCTGGTCTGGAGAGAGCAGTGACAGGTAAAGGTAAGGATGAAAATCATGAGAAATTCCACAGGCTGATGGACAAAACTACAGGAGGTCAGTGGCATCTGGGCACTCACTTGCCAAAATCTTGAGCGTGTTATTAAAACAGCAAATCCTAGGAACCATGGTCAAGGACCACAGCTTAGTTATACCAAGCAGGTAACAAAGAAACCCACTGGGAGAACAGACAAAATCCACATTTGTTCAAGGAGGTGGAAGATGGCCGCTGGCAGCTCAGGAACACAAGGCTTTATTTCTGGGTTAGTTGCAGGTGAATCGTGCTGAGGCCCCCAGGATGGGGTATCAGACTGGCCACCTGATACCACTGTCTGTCACTGAATTTTGGGGTGAAGTTTGGCCGGTCCCTTCCACAGGCACACACACACCCACACACCCCCCCAGGCCCTTCATGTGCAAGGGATTTGCCTGTGCCTACAGGCATTACCCAAGAACCAGCCTTTGTTACCCTTCACAGGTTGTCACACCATTGCCTGCAGAAGCTGAATTCCAGATCTGGCAGGACTGAAAATCATCAGAAATGAAAAATAATCCATACATCCTAGGTGCGAAAAACTGTCTGTCACCTATTCGGATCTGTGTTCCCTAACGAATTAAGAGTGCCACCGCAAGGCAGGGATTTTGGGACCGAATCAAAGTAGTGAGAAGTCAGATAAATTACCCACAGGCTTACTACAAAGTCAGCAACAGGATCAGGAGTCCCAATCACTAGTTCTCAGTTGTCTTTACCGGTATGGCTAAGTGCAGATTTGAATTATCGCAGTAATTTTACCCATTTAATGCTATTACTTTGCATAGGAAACGGTTGCGTTCAGACTTTGTGGGGAACAAGGCACACAGTGAAAGTGCCATGGGCACTGCTCACTCAAAGCTGGGTTTTACACTAGCCAAGGTACTAGGGGTGCAACTCGTGTGAAACAGAAAGAAAAAAAACCCCAAGCTAGCTAACACCATGCAGATGAAATTATGAGCACAGTGGAATCATGTGCTCTACTACCTAAGTACTATTTAAAATGCATGAAATATATAATAATTTCCTTCTCCCTCTTTTTTTTTTTTGTGTGGGTTGTTTTTTTTTTTTTGTTTTAATGGATTGTTTGAAAAATGGCTTGATCTTCCTCTGAGAGTGGGTCATAATAAGACCATGCCACATGAAGCATTCATCATTGTAACTGCCAGTGTCATGGTGTCTTTATTGGCTATTAGTTTCTGTCAGTGAAAGAGCCAAGGCAGGGCTACGAAGAGATGAATGAGGGGCAGGGGTCAGAGCCAGAGTACTCAGGAATTTGATGAATTATAAATTTGCTGTAGTTAACAAAAAATTAAGTCACAACAGCTATAAAATATTCATCTGTTCATAGGTAGAAAAAAACCAGAAGAATATTTAAATCAACAGATTTTCTTCTAGCAACTGTTTTCATCAGAAATGCAGGCTGCTCTTGAACTTTAGCATAATAGTTTAGTTAATAAAGACTGTGTAGATAAAAAAAAGATTTAATTGAAATCAGACAACATGGTGAAGCAAAGATTGTTAGATCTACATATTAATTTGTCAGCTGCATTCAGAGAAACTAACACAGCATACAAAATAAATGCATCCTGCATTTTTAATACTGCTAAAGTAGAAAACAAAGTAATACAGCAAGGTGTTTCATTAAAGACACTGATGGATCTCAGCTCTCCTGAGCCAAGCAGATTCTGGCAATTCCATCTGTGGTTCCTGCTGTCAGACACCAGAGTGCATAGACCTAGTGAATAGTTCCTCCGAAGGCCTCCCAAGTAAGTCCACGTGATTATAGGAAGTGATTTCAGCCCCACAGAGAGTGAAGCTCTTCCTCGTCTGAAAAAAACTTTCCACTTACGACATGACCTAAACCGCACGATTAGGATAAGCCTCCAGAGCACCTCAGAGTCTGCTGCCAATTCAATGTAAGTGGCTGTGAGTCCATCAGTGGCCACCTCAGAGCCCAGGGCTGTTCGCTGAGGTGTTGCCTTACAGCTGTTGTTCACAAAGCCAAGGAGAATCTCAGGACAATGCCGTTAACCAGTCAGTCTCGGAAAGTGCTTCGTGTCCAAAGGATGATTCTCAGTGGTGCTGCCCAGTCAGCTCAGCACAGACAAGTTCAGTCAACAGAAGCTAGAAAAGCCTAACTCAGCCAGCTGACCGAGTACTGAACCACATCTTTGAGCAGATGCTGGTACTGACTTAAGAGTAAAACCTTCTCTTTAAAAAAACCCCTTGAATATTTTAATTGGGAGAGAATTTAGTTGGGAGGATTTCCATGTAAAACCCAAGTAAGTACCTGTTTAGTCACCTTCTGCTGGAGAAGTGTTTGCAATAAATACATAATTATGCCTGTGCAAGTATCGGCATGCTGTGAATGCAGTCTGAAATTATGAAGTAAAACAGTGATAAATGTTGTCTATTATGTGACACCGCCTATTAGGAAAGAATAATTTGTTTGTGCTGCATACTGGATCATTTATTTTTGCATTATACATTGTCCCTCATCCTGTATCGTTCATTGATTCTTCCACACTGTATCCTGCTGATTCTCACCAGTTTAAAAATGAATTAATTTACTCTAGTGAGTTTGAAGTAATCACAAGGAAAATAATATTTTCATTACCCCCCTCCCTCTCAAGTTCTCAAATCTGCTGGTACCCAGTAAGTACCAGCCATCTGCAGTTCCCATCATAGAAATGGTCTCAGATGCTCTCAGACTTCTTCTTAGTGTTCTTGAGGACTCTGGGAGTCAATGGTTTCTAAGTAAAACTTGTAAGAACTGTGTGAACATGCTACAAGTGTTAAATTATATAAATGCTAGTGGTAAAGCCTTAGGAAATCACCGAACCTTCATTTGTTGCCCTCATCTGATTCATGAACTGGCTCTCTGTCAGTCAGCGAATAGACCCTAACAGAGTGACAGCCTCCAAAGTTTGAGTGTTTTAAAACCTTTTTGTTATCAAAGTAGCATCAACTTTCTTTCTAAACCCGTTCTGACTGAGACATTTTAGATCTCCCCACACCTTGAGTGTGGTTCCTGGAAGTCACCATTAATTAGAATAGAGTTACAATTTTCTTTCAAAGAACATGTGAGGGTTTAATAACTAAATACAAATCCTCTGTTTCAGGTGCGAAGCTACCTGGGGTTTCTGCATGGAGAGAAGGTCAGAAGTTAGCTAGAAAGTTGCTTGGTCGACCCCCTACATTTCCAAATCTGAGGAGCACAGCTGAAGAGCAGACCACAGCAAATACCGTTGGTACAGTTGCTTCTCTACCACACGAGCTGCTTTGGCACCCAAACAAAAAAGTGGTTTATTAAAACTAGTTGCAACAAAAGGTTTCAAGGCCCTTCTAAGCATCTATTTTTAATGACTCTGGCAATAACTCACTTGTCAGGTTAACAGCCACCCAAAAGACTTACTAAAGCTGTTGTCCGTGGTCAGCTGGCACACTGAATCCACTGTGGTTTTGAAGAGACAGTGCAAATGCACTGTGTCCTTAAAATGAGACTTGTCTGGATTGCGACACGGGTTACGTGATCCCGCAGCAATACAGCATCAGCTCCACGTCCTGCACATACCAGCACACTGCTGTTTAGCTGGGCTGGTTTGCCAGACATGGCTGTAGAGCTTCCCTGGGTCTACCAGTAGCTGAGGCTGGCCACTGAGTTCTCATTGTGCCACACTGACAAGCGTAAGAGGTTTATGATCTAAAGGGTTTCAATGCCTATGTATATTACATTTTATTTACACTGAAGGGCCACAAACTACACGTCATTTGTACAATTGGCCACTTCAACTTCAAATTTCACCCTTACAGATTTATCTTCTCCCTAGAACGTTGCAGATTTTACAACAGACATACAAGCCTGGGCTACACATACAGAGACTCCTCAGACCTATAGTAGGAAGCAGGTTTTAAGATGCACGTAATAGATACAGGAACTGCTACATCTCCGAAGTAATAACACCAATCTTGTTTCCAAATGCTTTTCCCAGAACCTGATAGAGGATTTGTAGCAATGCCAGCGATGGAAAACAGCTCCAGAGAAAAGGGAAATGAACCTGTGGGGAAAAGCCTGGAATTCAAAAGCTGCGTGATTCCCCCCAGCAAAACTATTGGAAGGGGCAGCAATGCACCAACCGAGGATAAAAAACAAATACTCAGGAACCTACATCTGCAAAGCCAGTATCATGATGAACACAGAGATAGCAGGCTCCCAAAAGATGCTGCAAAAGGAAAGGTACAAGTTTTGCAGCGATACCTAGGGATCCATTCTCCTTCACCTGGACCTCGGGACAGAACTCACTCTGCCTTCAGTGGGGAAGAGATACAATCTTCATTAAAGAAAGCTGGAGCCAAGCCCAGCAGCTCAGGAAGCCGCAGCAGAGGAAAAAGCACATCCCCTCAGAGACAGAAAGGCTCAAGCAGCCCTGCACAGAAAGGATCTGAGAAAGAAAACCTTAAGCACCCTTCAAAGAGGAGGGTAAACGTTAAAAAACCTCACCTCTACAGCCCTGAAATTGTTCAGGAATTTATGTATCGAAAGAATGCAGAAAGAAAGAAAAAAAGCATAGAAGAGAAAAAGTCTTTGGTGCAAGCCATGGAGATGAGAAATAAGAGATTGCAAGAAGTATACAGGAAACAGAAAGAAGCTATTGGGAAAAAAAGGCGTTCTGACCAGATGCACAAGCTCATCAGGGAAACGGCTTCTGCAAAAGAAAGTCCTCAGTGTAAAACTGAGCAAGTAAGTCATGAAGGAGTGGCAGATTGAAAACCCTTCGGTCTTGATCCGGACAGCACTACATAGGAGATGAAAGACTTCATACACATGCTCTGAAGTGTCAGGGAGAAAAAGTTTTATCTGGAAAAATAGAGCAATTAACTTCTAATTACAGCAAGAACTGCTGGTCTCATTAATAAGGCTGGAACCCTTAATTTCAGGGCCAAAAGCCTGCAAGTCTCCACTGCTTGAGCTAAAAGATTAGGTTTGTTGTTTGGTGCGTGCAGTTTTTCAGTTCCATAAACCAATTATTAACTGGAACAAAAGCCAAGTATTACCCTCATGTTGCCTAGCTATTTAGTGCTTGCACTAACAGCCACTTCTGTTTCAGGAGCAAACCAGTGGTGGAACCCTGGAGAGGAGTTTCATGGCCTGGGTGGATAAAACATCCTGTACTCCCTTAAGTGAAGATCACAGAGACAGGTACTCAGGCATAAAAAGCATCCTAGAAAGCCTCTTTCTCAGCACACACTGAAGACTTTTCAGAATATTCTGTTATAAACTCTAAAAAGTAGAGCAAGGGATTGATGTCCACCCTTAAAATCACCTTAAAAGCCACACTGCACCCAGTCCAGAGGGATTACGGAACCTGGGAGCACCTGGGAGTGCTTTTGAGCATGGAAGGACACTGATGCTCTGGCTCCCCAGCTTGAGGCAAACTTTTCAGCCTACTTTTATGCTTTGTATTTTAAAATAATAATTATTCCTTGCTAGCCCCAGGCTGATTCTTCTCCACATCTGTTAGCAGTTCGTGCTCCATCCTGAATCCATCATTTGACAAATGTACCTATAGACAGGGAAATCTGGTTTGTTGTTTTTTTTTTTTTTCCTTTCTTTTGTGAAGCACTTTAGTTGAGGATACTGGACTATGCAGAAAGCTACTGTTACTTTGTCTTTATAACATGGTCTTTCTTCTTTTTATTTAAACAGGAATCAACTTCTAGAAACAGTTCAACCATCCAGAAAAAGAGAGGTATTAGCTTCTCCAGCACATCTGGAATCTGAATGCTGGTTTCTCAGTCCTCTGAAATGTGAAGATTTCTCTTCCCCAGCTCTGTATACACCCCCTCTGAGCTTTTCCCTTCCTCAGAAAGATGCAAAACCTTACTCCAAGGACTTGATTTCTGGTCTTTCTCCATACAAAAGTAAACAGGATCGAGTGAAAGCCATACATAACCTATCCAGAGAACTGGCAGAAAAGATTGAGGTGGCAACTAAGAGACTGAATGCAGCAAGCTGGGTTAAAGACTCCGCTGACAAAACATTGACAGGGACAACTTTGGACCTTTACAATGAGTCTTCTTCTGTCCCAGAACCTGAGACATCCAAGGATGAGCAAGACAAGACAATGACTATACAAATGCTTCTGGACACCCCAGATGCTTTACATGTGTCATCAGGTAGGAGATTTCACCGACTGGGCAGGATTAGCCTTGTGGGTAGCACTGAGGGAGCAACGGCCCTGGACAGACAGAAGGAAATACCCAGTGGTAGGAATGCTGCAAGCAAAGAATTACCATGGATCACTCATAGCACAGGACAGAGGCATCTCAACACCGGGGAAGATCATATTGACACGATGCAGCAGCGAGACTCAGATGCTGTAGCCCAAGCCTTTCAAAGCTACAAAGCCGTTTAAGCCTCATCTCCCCTTGGCTATTGAAGTATTGTGTCTTGGGAAATCCATGAGCAGTGGGTCACCTAGGCTGTATCTGTCTGCTCAGAGGGAGCAGCTGCTGGAGCCTTCAGTGTTTGCAGGCTTGCTCTCTGCACAGCTCACAAATCTAATGCCGAGAAGGGTCACAGGTGCCCTCAGCAAGCAGCACAGGCAGCCTAGGGACCCGCTGGCAGCAGCAAGTATGAGTGCCACTCCATATGTTGTTCAGTATGTTTAGATCAGTAGGGCAGAACCATGAAATTGCAGCAAATCTCCTCAGATCAGAAGGTTGCCAGAGTGTTAGCAGTGACTGATTTTACTTATTTGTCTGTTTGGTTAGCACTGAAAAGTCTGTCAGTCCCCCCTGTGAAAGGAGAGATGGGACTGAAGTAGAACTTATCACATTAAGAACTAATGAGCTAACTGGGGTAATGATCTAGAGATTATTAGACCTAGAAAAGAGAAGGCTGCAGGGAGATCTTAGAGCAGCCTCCCAGTAAATAAAGGGGGCTACAGGAAAGGTGGGGAGGGGCTCTTTATCAGGGGGTGTAGGGACAGGACAAGCAGTAATGGCTTTAAACTGAAAGAGGGCAGATTTAGATTAGATATAGGGAAGAAATTCTTCCCTGTGAGGGGGGCGAGGCCCTGGCACAGGTTGCCCAGAGCAGCTGTGGCTGCCCCCTCCCTGGCAGGGTTCAAGGCCAGGTTGGACGGGGCTTTGGGCAACCTGGGCTGGTGGAAGGTAGCCCTGCCCATGGCAGGAGGGTGGGACTGGATGATCTTTAAGGTCCCTCCCAACCCAAACCAATCTGTGAGTCTATGATCTAATTACTTTCTTCTCCACTCATTGCACCTGTGAAACTACATCTCTTAATTTTATCTGTGGCTTTGCTACTGATTTCAGACACATCACTTCACTCCCTGGTGCCTAGGTTTTCCCAGAAGAAAGAAATTATAAACCTAACCCCATGTACTTAGAAATCTCTGCATAAGAAGACCTATATGGAAGTTAAGTGCTCAAACATAAGTAGGTAGAGAATAGATGCCAAATCTTGGGCCATTTCATTTCTACAAAGAGCATATTTATTAAATGCCCTCATTTGTCTTTTTAAAAGGTTTTCCTGTGAATAAGGACTCTGAAGTGGACATAAGCCTATTGCATGAAAAGCCAATAACCAGCCCAGCCTCTCCATCTCACAGATTCCTCACTAGAAGGTAAACAAATTTGGATATATTATTCTCTGCTAAATGCGCCATGCACACACGTAGTTAAAATAAATAGCACCAATTCAGCATGGAGGCAGACCACGCTTTACTCCTCACCCAGCAAATTGCCAAGTCAGCAGATTTTGACACAAGATATACTGAAAGAGGGAACCACCTATTTGTAGAGAGCTGGAAGATCAATAGGAAAGGTTCAGCTGGGGTTTTTTTTGGAGAGATGGATCTCCCCTACAGGAGTTTTGCCCTAGATGCAATCTCCCAGCAGTGTGAGGAGACTGGGAGCCCATGGGAGATTTCTTTCCGAGGGAGCTCTGGCTTTCCACCCCTCTTGGGAGCAGGGGCAGCCCCCAGGAGGAGGTGGGTCCCCCCCGGCTCTGCCTGCTGCTGACCACAGGGCTCCAGGAGCATGGAGGGGCCCAGCGTCCCCAGAGGTCAGACCTCCAGGTCTGAGAAGTAACACATAGCTCGTGCCTCCCTCCCCACCCCGGCCAAATACACCCCTCGGTATTTTACCACGTGGCATTGGCAGAAGAAAAAATTTATTATCTTTATGAGTACCTAGTTAAATCTCCACTGATCTCCTTTTTGCAGGAGATTAAAGAGTGATTTAATCCACCGAATACTATAATTCATTTTTAGTGATTGTTTGCACTCACTTTGCTCTAAAAGTGGGTGAAAAAATCTGATTGCTGCAGCTTTACAGGTTGCGCATCTGTGGAGCAACACCTACTCACAAATACTGAGTTTGTTTGAACAGAGCACATGTCGGAGCGTGGTGATTATTATGGAAAATAGGTTTTGAAGGAGGAAATTTTGAAAAAAAGGATTAACACAGCTTGTTTTCAGTCAGCCTACATTAATTAAATGTTTAATGTAGATGGCAGTCAACAGAAAACCCTCTGTGTTTAGCCTGTATCTTAGAGAGCAAAGACAGATTAGTCTCACTGCCCCAGGTGGGTCATCTCTGGTGACAGGACGGACCACAGAGGGACGATCTGCAGATCAGAGAGTGCCCCTGTCCAGCCGTGGAGGACACGCCAGAGTCCCCATAGGGGACACACATCTCTGCAGAGGGGTCTTCCCTTAGAGAATAAATCCCCTGAGCCCTAGAAAATTAAATATGACCTGGCCAGGCAATGCCAAAGAAAGGACATATGTGCAGCAAACTGGCCACTGTGTCCCCAGCTTCCTGTTCGGAGTGAAGGATGAGGTGCCGGGGCTGTGGGATCCCTGCCCAGGTGGGGATGGATGAGGCTCCTTAATAGCAGCCCAGGATCCAACTGGCTGTGCCAGCCTACTTGCAGTTAAACTGCAGAAAGCTCTAGTGAGAAGAAGAGCAGGTTTTTTTTAACTGAAGGTGGGACATAAGGCACAGCATTCTTTTTAAGAAAATTGTTTACAGCTTTACAGTGCAAAGTAACCAAGAGGAAAATGAAAATTGGAGAGATAAATCCAGACAGCTCAGCTTACCAAAGTTATTCCTGGAATTACTGAGAGTTAAACCCCTGTTCTTTGTGCACAACTACCACATTCACAAAGGTTGGTCTGATTTCTGCTCCGAAAGATCAGCTGCAAGGATTATGGAGCTGTTCTGTTGCAGAAGATGGCAAATGTATAAAACATGAGCACTCAGTGTGTGCGGTGAAGAGAGTCAGAGCTGTGTATGCCCTGCACCTCAGAGAGCGCAGCCCACCAGTCTGCAGGAAATGGTGGGATCCATCACTCTTGTCTTGATGCGTGTGTGTTTATATGCAACTCTAATTCACAGTAATGGAAGGTAGGTGCAGAACCCCCGTGGGCCCCGGAGGAAATACACCCTCAGCTGTAATGGACAAGCATCAGACAAAGTAGAAATAAGACAGATTGCACTGATCTCCTGAACAATGCAATTACTGAGAAAGCAAAGCTCCCGTGTGTTTGAGCAGCGGAGTCAGGCAAACTCCTCAGAGCATCACAGAAAAAAAAAACACCAATAAAACCTCTCAAACAATAAATCACAACCCTGTTGCACGTGCTGTTTCAAAAGATGAGGAGAGCTACTTGCAGATAAAATATCACCGTATTTAGAGATTAGAAGTGGAAAGTGTTGCTATTTTGTGAATGACTCCCGACTCATCTCCTTGTGGGTTGAGGGCTCCCTCTGATGAGCAGTAGTGACAGTAAGGGGACAATATAAAGGAAAGACCACCCTATGTCTAACCCTTTCTTAGCTACTGGTAAAGTAGATAATACAAAGGTTCAGAGTAACAGCCTGTCTTTGAATCGTCCTCAGCTTTCATTTGCACATGATTCTAATTTAGCACCTAGTCCTGAAGACTGCACACTCACTCACGGGAAGCAAAAGTGAGTGAGAGTCCTTCTGTACACACTAGTGGGCAGCACATGCCAGTTAAGGACAACGGCAGCGCCCCATGATCAAGCTATTCCTGAAGCCGCTTGGGTATCAACCCTTTCACACGCCTGCTGAGTGCATACATCTACAATCTGATCAGACCCCATGGTAAAGGAGTACCAGCGTGCTGAGGGGGTGACTGAGGAACACACTTTCCAGGGTCATAATTTCTCCTGCTCCAGACACGTTTGCACTGTGAGTGCATGAGCTCCGTATGGGGAAGTGTTAGTGGGGAGGGAAGGAAGCCTGTCTCTTGGCTAGCATACAAAACGTTACAGGACTGTGCTGACGGGCAGGGGTAGCGCTGTGTTCTTAGCCCTTGGTAAACACGTGCCTGTACAGCCCATCACCAGTGTAGCTCGAGCTAGGTTAGAGAATGTGGTAGTAAAAGCAGCTGAACTGGGATTATGCTCTGACTTCCACTGTTGCTACCGATGATAATGAGTTATGAGGCCACAGTTGGCTATAACAGATACTCTCCTCAAGAGTTCATCTAAACAAAGCCACCTGTTAAAAACTGACTGTTTGCCGGCCTCATTCACAAATACAAACCAGGCAGTGTTACAAAATGAGCGCTCTTGAACACAATCTTCTCCACGGCCAGTTTCTACAGCACAGTTTTGTGTTTACATGTTTAATTATAGCTGCCAAAACAGTGACTCATGTTCATGCAAGAAATCCCGCAGGTGCATCTCCATAAGAAATGTTCCCATTTCATGCACGGCTGCTCTGCAGTCCGCAGGGGCGGCTGACGGAGATTTGTTGTTAATGCAGATGACTCACTGATGGGAATCCTCCAAAGCGCCAGAAAATGTGTATGCAATGTCATCCTTATTTTGCTGCAGTTACCTATATAAGTAGCTTTGCGTTACATTCTTGAGAATCAAAAAGATCATCCCGCTCGTGCCATAAGTTAAGTGCAGCGGGCAGCCTGAGGGGCTGGGGCAGAGCAAGCAGCCAGGCGGAGGCCTGACATCCCGAGACAGTGAGCTGTTAGATCACAGCCCTGCCTCCTGCCGCGGGCCCAATAATGCTTTCTCTTTAGCCAGTGCAAATCCAAAGAGCCTCATCTGGGAATTGCGATGGTTTATGCCCACTGCAGAGCTGGCTGTGTCTGGAGAAGAGGCGTTGCTGGCCACTCCTGTGTAATGCCAGTATTTTCTGTAGAATCTGCATTGACTTCCACTGATGCTGGCAGTTGCTTTCTCAGGAAACAAGGGTTGGATTTGGACCTTGGCATCAGTCTCTCCAAAGAGAAGTAGGCATTTCTCAAGAGCCAAAGGAAACAGTGGCTTTGACCAAAAAATTGTCGCAACACAAATGCAGAGAAAATGCTCAGCTCATTTGCCCACCAACTATTAGAACTGCTTTTTAAGAAATCTCTGTTACCTCTTCTCTTTCTCATACACCTTTGCTCCCACTTTCTAAGACGTGTTAGTGGAAGCTGTTCTAATCATTTTAGCAGTTTCTGGGTCATGAAAAACAAAGAAAAGCTTATTAACGAGAAAAATGAAATAAGATTTCCCTAAGCTGATTGCCGATAAAAAAAAATAAATTTCACGTTCATTTTTCTGTATAAAAAGAAAACATCTGTCACCATTTCATTGTGTCTCAGGGTCCCTGCTTGTGTTTCAGCTGAGGCTTGATCAATAAATGCCCATTTTCACACCTTCCTTCCTAATCTTTTTAGTTAGGCTCAGATGGTTACAGATCAAAACAAAGTAAAACCAGTTATCTGAGATCTTCATCAGGACTGCAGGTCTTGGTGCTGACATTGTTTTGAAATATTAAAGTATATTTATCAATAGCAAATCTTAGTTGGGCCACAGCCATGCTCAGCACAAGTCCCAGAAACACTGGAACAGAGATCGGTACTTTGTGTTTCTAAAAAGATTTCAGATACCTTTGCCAAGGTTCAGAGCTTGGATTGTGCAACCAAGTCCTAACAATGGCACAGATTGTCCATGCAGCCCTCATAAATCAAGCTTCAAAACTGCAAGGTTGTTGTTCCTATTTGCCACCAGGCTGAAAAATATCCAGATCTTTTAGAGCAGTTTTTAGAGTAGGCAGACAAGTGGTGTTAGCTTTCCTGACAACATCAAGGTACAAGAAAGAATTGTGCACATTGACAGGTAGGACTTCTCAGTGAGTCTTTGGTTTCCATTTAATAAAATGTAATAAATGATAGCTTTTTTTTTAAAATGAACCATTTCTTAGTTTAAAAGATTGCTTATACACATGTATGATCGCAAAAACTCTCTGAGTAATTGTTATTGTTACCTTGACACAGCCCACAGAGAGAACTCACAGCTCAGAAGAATCACTACCGGTGCGAGACTATTTCAAAAGTTCAGAACCAAGAGGAAATTTCCAACCAGTCGCCCAGAGAGAGCCTGGAGACACCGGACAGCCTCAGATTACAGCCCTCTGGCACTCCGAGCACTGGAGCCAAGGCTCACGATGGCTTCAAGAAGGTCTTTGGTAAGGTGGCATTTCCTAAAGTGTCAGGGCATAGTGGTTACTTGGTGCGCTTCCCAAGGTTCTTCTTATGCTATTGGAGAAGAAAGTACAGTCCGTCGTTGCCAGAGAATTCTTGCTAACCATTCTGGCTAGGACTGAAAAACATTTGAGGGTGAGGGGGAATTTCAAATAGCTGGTTCGTATTCCGCATTTCAAAGATGAAGAATGACTATATGCCAAGATGTCCCCAATTTAACAGACACACCCCACTAAAGAAGGCAATCGGAAGGCTTTGCCTGTTCCATGCAGCGCTGTGCTGTCTCACAGGTGTGAATTCAGCAGAGCGTCACCTCACAGGTTGCTCCTGTGCGGAGTTACACAGCGACAGCTCCACACGGCCCGGTGGAACAAACCCCGCTGTTTGTCTCTGAAATAGCTCAGCTCACAGACACTTTCAGCATCTTGCAGCTTCACCTAGCTCTTCATAATTGCCACATCAGATAAGTGTCAGGTATTATCCTATTTGTACAGCAAGAGACATCAAGGCACAGAACATTTGCAGGGGTTGACAAAGGATGCAGCAGGCTGAACGGAGAGATCTGCTCAAGGATGCTGCAGGGCTGGCCAAGGCAAGGGCAGGGAGCGTGGCACCGCCACTTCTGCTCAGAGCTCGTGTTTGCGGAGAGACGGGGGCAAGTTTGTGGCCGAAGGGGTTAAATGGCAAACAGTAGCATGCAGGCGGATCTGCCTGGAGATCTCTGCTTGCTTCCACCAAACAGTAGCAGATGGTGCATTGTTTTAAGGGCTTTCCTGAGACAAAAGAACAAGATGAGATAACCTTTCCTCAAAGAGGGTACTTACAAAAAGCCTTTGCTTTTATTAAGGATTCTTCATTGTTTTCCCCACAAAATTTTATATGCAATATTGGATTTTGAGGTGGTGGAGAAGCCAGCATTGTTTACTATGCTTCTCCCTACCCACCCCAGGGACTAGGAGGGCATCTTACAGGGTGGGACAGTGAGTCTGTTGTCTGAAGTGTTTACCATAAGAGAAAGACATTGTATTTAGTTAATATTAATAACTAAGGGCCCGAATTCTGAAGGCTATCTAGCAAAAAGACCCTGCCATCCACTGTTCATCACATGAACGATAGCAACTGCTGCCTCATGTCTATGCCAGGAGAAACCTTTACCTTCTCTGAGCGTTTGCAGGGGCTGACAGCGTTTGAGAGAGCTCAAGCCCAAGGTTTGACTATAAGCCAGCAGTTCCAGCCATGTTGCCGCAGATGAGGCACAGAACTGTCATTCTGAAGACAATGTGGTTTTGAAATATGGGTCACAAGTGGATCTGTTCACCACTTATCAGGAAAAGGGCATTCAGACACAAGGCTGTATTGTCTGCCGTAACGCATCACACCCGCCGTTGAGTCTGTTCCCTTTCACAGAACACAGAAGTCACCGTGCACATGCAGCATAATAATGTGCAATTATCCACAACTGCTGCAAACCAGAACTATTTACCTTTAAAAGATACATGCATCACCTAACCACTAATTGCTATGCCAAAGACATGAAAAATTTTCTGTAGTAAACCTACTTGGCAAAATAACAAATTTCATTTTCAAACATAATAAAGCACATAATAAAGCAGGTATTCACCAAATATTTGTAACTATTTACTGCCTGGAGTAAGACAGTGAACTCGTCCTGAACTGTCGAATTTTCTTTTTAAACGCAGCCAGTATAACATCCAGAATTGCAAATGCTGTAAGCACATGCTGTGATGAACACAAATCATCTCAGAGGCATGACTGGAAAGTATTTTACATAGCTCTTACATGCATCTCTAATCAGTTTAGGCACAAAACTTGGTATAACCAAGTGAGCTGATGAGGAAGTGGTTTGCACATTCTACTTATCTACATAAAATCTTTCCATCACTCCTGGCAGAGAACCAGGTCTCTTCCACAGGGAGCTGAGAAGATGAGCTATACTTGCCTTGCTACTGCAGCACACTCTCTGAATACAGCCCACAGCACCCAAGTTTCTGTATTGCTATTAAATAAGGGAACTGGGTGGTTTAAAAAAAAACAAAACAAACAACATTTTGCCTGTGCCCCTTCCTTGTGATTGGACTATGAGCCAGACTGGACTAAATGAGGCATAATCTCATTTCATCGGGCCAGGCTTTTGTCTTCGTTTTTGTATATGAGATAACAAGGATTAAGCTGCAATGTACTGTTAAAAAAAATATTTTCTAAATGTTGAAGCTTAAGTATAGCTACTAGTTTGAAGTGATTTGCATTAGGAAAGCAAATTGAATGTTCTCCAGTATTCTTAAAAGGCAGAATTTTAACCTGGATTACAAAGAAAATGTATTTATAGGTAACATCTTTCCCCTTAACTGCTGATTGACATATTTTCTCATGTCACTAGAGGGAGCTGCCTTCTTGCTTCTAGCAGTAAGAGATTATTAAATCAGTGGAATCAGCAAAGAAGTCTAACAGCATGGTTTCAGCTAATTGTCTTCTGATTGATAGTTTTGAGATAAGACAGCTCTTTGTGTTTCGCTTCAAAATCCTACACTGTCTTTTGTATTTTACAAAGCTTCTGCCTGGTGAAGCTTCAGTGAGCTCCATCATCAGCCTTCAAACATCTCTAGTCTGCAATGATGGCAGTGTTGAAGCATAGCATGCTTCTCGACTCTGTGACAGGCAACACAAGAACTGCTCTTGAGAATTCCTCTCACTTCCTTTGATACCGGTTTTCTCTCTCTGAACTAGTTTCTTTCCATACCCACAGAGCCTGTATTTGCACTGCTTATTAGCTGGCTGATAAATCACCCTAAAGCCTGCGTGTGCACAAGAAGTCAGGATTTTGTCCCTCTCCATGCTGCTACCCCTCAGGGTGCTGCTCCTTGTAAAACGCCACTGCAAAGCCTGTGGACACACATGTGCATTTCTTGCTCTCTGTGGTCTAGTGATGCTTTGCCGCAGGTTGGGGCTTTGGTATCCATACTGCAAGTGTAGCGGGCTGAGGGAATGTAGTATAACACCCCATGGAGATTCAGGGTTCTGGTTAGGTCCAGATTCAGGCCCAGCTCTCTCCTGCTAGCCTGTGGCAAGAGCTGCTCAGCTGCTCTCTATGTGCCACGCCACATGTGGAAGGGGCAGCAGCAGGGTGAGGTATTGCCATGTGCTGCAACATCTGGCTGGAAGCTGAATTCTAGCCAACCCTTTGCACGAGGGGATTTAGATATAGACACAAAATATGTGGAGGACAGGAGCAGCACAGGCCACATTAATCCCCTTGTTTAGCAAGCAGCTACTCCTTAATGACAAGTGGGATACAGACGTATTTATAGAGAAGAAACTGATTCAGCAGGCGTGGAAATACAGATTCCCCAAGGTACTCAGGAATGCAGATCAGCCTATTGATTTTCCTGAGTAAACAAGTATAGCCTTCAAGTTTAGAGTCTCTTGCTTAGGGATCGCTCTTGGCTCACCGGTCTTGCTAAAGAAGGGCCAAACAGCCGTCCTGTTCACGTGTGCTGCGTATCTCAGCTGTGACTAGGAGCTAGCAAACCTCTTTTCTGTATCTCCATTCACCTGCCATCACTATAGCTCAGTTCCTGCACGCTAATGAAGTACTGAAGTGCTGGTGGTATCTCACCCATGCCTCCCCTTCTCTGAAGAGCATCCTACAATAATAAAGCAGTTGAGCTAACACAGTAATTTTGGAGAGGGGAAGGATTGCCCTGACCTGGGTATCAAATGGGGTTGCCCCATTCCACAGCAGCATTTCAAGGCTCTACACCCCATCTTCATACACCTCTAGGCAATAATGTAGTCAAAGTTGTGCTTATGTCTAAAGCTGCAAGTACGTATTTTTGTAATAACTGCTTTGGACTGATTGCTGATGTGGGCAGAAAGAGAAAAAGCTGTCCTTGAGTAAAGCAGCAGTAAGTGCTTCTGCCTAGCTTCAAGTGATTAGAAAAATGAGACTTTTAGCCTGGCTTTTTTAATTATATGTCACAGAGATTCTACAGGGTTTACTGAGATTCTGCAGGTGCAGCGGAAAGTGATTTAATAAATAGCATTTTTTTAAAAAAAAGACTGAGTGTGTGTGCATTGAAGCTATCTGGGTATGCAGTAAAATGCCATTCATCATAACGTAAGAGGACATGAAGTTTAGCCAGATGGTATTTTCTTTAATGCAGGATGTTGCAACACAAGAAATGCATATGGAAATAGCCACAATTAGGAAAATTATTTTCAAAAGGAGTGAAAACAGATCAGAAAACTTTTTATTCACTTTGAGATCAATATCATTGGTTAGGCTTTGAGCAGAACAATAACATTGTTCAGTTTGAGGCATAAATTGAAAATACTTGCCAGTTTTAAACTATTTCCTAATAGACTGCCATACTTCAGAACGGCCCAGATATTAGTATTAAAAGCTACTCAGATAACTTAGCATCAATAAATTTAGCTTGTAAACTTGAAAAATAAAATTACCATATTTCTTACTATTGATGGCTTTTGAAAGTGATGAGCTCTCTGTATACCTGCTGAAGAACCATTCACTTGTCTTTTTTCTATTACATTGCTTAAAACCAGTAGTAAAACTTCCCTGTAGAAATAACAGCTCTTTTCCCCACAGGATTTTCCCTAAATATACCATTTCACCAAATCATCTCTGGTAACTGTAAACATCGAAGAGTCTGAATCAGTCCTTAAAATTAGAAAGATTGGGGATTAAAAAAATCTTTTTAAAAGGGTGAACTCTTTATTGGGCATGTGATTTTTAGGTAATTCAGTATGATTAAGCCCTTTCAAACAACCCTCCAGAACCAGAAGATACACATTACTGAAATAAAAGATGAGGTTTTCATCTAGTCTCTTGATTCTGAAAACTGGGGGTTTAAGAAAAGCCTCCTATAGTAACGCTGTAAGAGGTAAGTGAAATTTGCAGTCAAGCTGTTTATAAAAACAGCAGCGTTCTAATAGAAAATCTGCATCAGGCTTGAAGCATTAACATTTTATTTCACTCACATCCACATAAACACAAAAAGCATCCTGGCATGCAAAGAAGCCCATGCCTCTGCTCCTTCCATGTTAAATATCCTTCAGTATTTAAAGCAAAAAACAAACTTTGCATGTCGTGGGCTTATCCTGAGGCACGGGGTAATTTGGATTCAGACAATCTGGATAGGGATACAGATTTTTCTCTCAAGTTTCCAAGTCAAACCTATTTCTATTTATGACCCACACTTCAAATCATTTATGACTCTGGTTGCTGTGACAGTGGCACAGCACAGAGTAAACACACAACCTGTTTGCATAAGCTTAGCAATTCATCTGAGAAGCTCAGAGCAGCCAAGAACATATCACGGGTAAACATTACATCACCTATACTGTAAAAGACAGACAGGAGAGTTACAATAAGGAAGTAGCAGTGAAACAGGTGCCTCTCGAACAAGAGTTGTTTTCCCCATTTAAAAGCAAAAGCTTTTTTACACGGGTTTGTCTCCTCCTGTGACAAAAGAGAGAACTCAAGCCTGCACCCCCGTACAGAGAGAAGCTGCAAGATGGAGGGGGCAGACGCAATGCTGCCAGAGTTCCCAAAGAGGTGACCAGGTTGGGAAGCTTTTCTTCTTTTGGAACTAGTGGGTTTGATCCTGTTGGAGTGACGAAGGAGCAGCGGGAACAAGTGACCACAACCCACGCTCTGAACTTGGCTTGGAATGGGAATTGCTCGCCAGTCCTTCTCCTTCCTGGCACAGGCCGTCTTGAGTCCTGCCTCTTTCCCTCTCCCAATACTTGCAGGATTTCATGCTAACAGATTGACAGGATGTAGGTAGTGACATTTTCCTTCTTCAGATATGGTAGAACAAGTAAATTTATGCAGGGAAGTTATTCCAGGAATCAAGGCAGATGTCAGATTTGGGAGGCTTCCAAAGACAGGCCCAGGGAGGATTCAAAAGGCAAATGCAGTTCGGAACAATGTACACATACCTTCTTCCCCTTTCGGTGATCCCTGTGCGTTAGGACTAGGGCATGCTTTGAGGAGTCAGGTCTGAAATGCAGCCAAGAAGCAGATGTCCAGGCACCCCATTGAAAATACAAGGTACACTGGTCCAGGGGTGATCCAGCAAGTCAGCCCTACTGGCAAAACACTCAGCAAATGCTGAAATCCCAAAGAACTTTGGCAGTCTAAAAACACGCTTTTGGGGCAGCAACTGGAATCTACTGCCACTGACTCCCTCTGGTTAACTTTGGTACTTTCTTCAGCTGGCACCTACTAAACAGAGCACAATTTTTAAAAATTAAGAAATGGTGACTGTTACCATCTATTTCCTAAGCTTCTACAGGTGAGGGAGACCCTAGCTGCACAGAACTGGAAGAGAAATACAGAAGCCACCTGGACAATTTGAGGCAAACCTCCCTACTCCTGGCTCACAAGCTGAAGGTACAGTAAGCAACCCACAGAACAAGCAAAGAGCATTTCAAGTTCTGCTTCCCAGGTCAAAAGGTGCTAGCTGTCCCCCGACTCAGGTGTGCGTAGACTACAATCAGTTGGCACCCGCTGCCTCTGCATCAGGTTTATAAACCCCCTGTAGCTGTAAAGGAGAAGTACCAGCCTTAGTTTGTTATTTGGATATTAAAAATATCATTTGTAGTCTGTCATTTCCCAACACAGGTCTATCAGCTCCAGCAGAAACAGCAGCTTACAGTCTTGAGGGAGAAAGCAAAGCTAGAGGTTCAAGAAAGCCAGAGGTTTTTGAGTGACTTGCTTCAGCACAATTCCCAGGTAAGTTATCATTTCAGATCCTGTGTTACTGCTTCTGGATTAAGCAAATATTCTTCCATTCTTCCATTCAGAAGAACTTTTTTTTTTTTTTCTTCTCATTCAGAATTTTTTTTGTTCTCATTCAGAGTAACTTAATCAAAAGGGGGGTTTTGACTGATAAAAGCTGTAGATCAGGGTAACCTTTTGGGAGTGCCCAGGTCTCTTAGGCTGTCATTTGGACTGTTGATGTGAAATCACTCAGGTACTGCAGCTTTTGGTGTCTATCAAATCTCGAAAGGCTCTTAAGCCCTCAAGAGATAATTACTGTGATACTTGCCCAGACACAAGAGCCTAGTGAGATGCTAATCTTGACCAAAAAGTACGTTTAAAAAAAAAAAAAAAAAAGACTTCTTTAGCATGCTGTTGATTTGTGATTTACTTTCCAACCTCAGATTCTGAAGTCAGCTAGGAAATGATGGACTTCAGTGCCTATTTGTTAGAGTAAGAATTTAGCCCCACATGCATAAGCACAAGCTCGGACCTCATCTGTAATTCCAAGTTCTTGATACACCATTGAGTATTTGCTTTGGAGGATATTTTAGCTCAATTAATATCATCGGTATGTTTGAACACCTCAGACAGAAGTCTTCTTTTTTTAAAGCTCTTAGGATGAACACAGCCTGACTCCCATGAAAGCAGCTCTAAACACGCAACAGTTTGTGAGCTGTTATACTACCTTACTTCCATATGCCCACAGTTATTTCACTGTGAGTAGTATCCAACTCTTAAAGAATTATTGGCATGTGAAAAGCATTCTCTACTACAAAGGGCTTTCCCAAGAGGATGAGGGAAGAAGGCTTAAAAGAAGGCTTAAAAATTCTGCCTTTCAAATAAATCATTCAGGTCTACTGACAATTTCTGTGTTTGCAGGAGCGCAGTAGCTCCAGAGGCAGTTATCCTTCTGCGCCAAGACTGGACTGTGCGGAGCAAACGCGGAGAGGACGCCAACTGGGAGGTGACAACACAGCTGGCAGGTACAGAAGGCAGTATACAAGGAGGCACTGATGGTTTAGCCTGTGGCTTGACTATAGGAATGTCTTGGGGCACTAAAGCCTTTGCACTGTGTTTCTAAAATAGATGTTCATTTCAAGCCATTTAAGAACAGTTTACATGGCTGTCAAGTTGTCTTTAAGACTATGGCCTAACTGTTTTATTCATTGAGATCTCTGCTGTGAGGTATCCATCTTTGCGATACAGTCTACTCTGATTTATGCACAAACCATAGTATCAACATTTTTCTAATGTTGTGGGAGATTTTGCATTCTTTAAAAGTTAGAAGCCCCTTTGAAATTTATGGGACAACATGATTTTCCTCATTTCGCTTTACCATAATATACCTTGGCCTATGCACATTTTAACACTCATTTAAAGTGACATAGATTAAAGACCTGAGAACTACTTCTAGAGTCTTACAGATACAATTACCAGAAAGGCACTTTTGCACAGGTAAAACTCTCAATATTGCATAAAAATGAGCACCATGTTAGTCTGAAAAAGAGTCAGCCTCCATGGAGCACTTTGCTATGAAAGCTAGGAATAGAAATAGTATATCTGACCGAAACAAGAAAATGCTTCCTTTCTTTTTTACCTCAGCAATCAAGAGATGCATTCACTGAAAAAATCTGCACTGAAGATGAAAAGAGATGGCAGCCCAGTGGATCCCAAAATAGGGGGAGAAATCAACCTCCTTGTCCCAGACGTTTTTTACTGCTCGGCGCTTCAAGAAGGTGAACGCTAAGTTAAAGAACTTGGTGGTATTGGGCAAACACCACTTCCTAGCACAGCATGAGAAACAGCACGGCATCCAGGGGCTGGAACACATAACGGCAAATTTCACTAATTTGTTAACTGATTTTTTTTAAAATTGTCACCTAAATACTTATATTCATTATGCAGATTTAAACTGTAGCACTCTCCCTTTGTACTCCTAACCCTCCTACAGAAAATAATCTTGGGAGTTGGGAGTTATTTACCCTATTTATAGGTCCCCCCCCTTTTTTTTTTTTTTCTTTTTACCTGTTTACCATAACCATTACTTGAAGGCGAGGTTGGTGTTCATAATTGTCTCCTGTAAGTGAACAGCTGTGGGGTGACTCCCCTCAGGCTCTTGCTGAGGGCAATGCACAGACCTGGCTGCCAAGTACCTGCAACGGCGCCTTGAATCCACCGATGGATGCGAGCTTAACTCATGTACTATGGGAACCAATTTGGGGGTCTTTTTTTCCTTGTTACAGAGAAATGTGACTTTAAATCTTCTCCTTAGGGACCCTGCCAGCAGAAGATGGGAAGCCGCTGACCGATCATCAAACCTTGAATCTGTTGCCACCTCCAGTGAATCTGCCCTGTAGGGACGCCTCTGGAGGGAGCAGCGAGCAGGCCAGCTCCAACAGCCAGGTAACACCAAGCCTTTGGATTAGTTTTGGGGGGATTTTTTGGCTTCTAGTCCCCTCTTGTCATCTGCGCAGCATTTCTGTGGTAATCACGAGGCTCTGCTCTGTCCCCAGCGGAGCGAAGTCGGCCGGCACTATGGAGGCTCCAGCAGCTTCCGCCATTTCAGCTTGGCCCTGGCGGAGCAGTGCCTGAGGGGAGAAGAGCTGCGAGCTCGACACCAGGCCGCCCTCCTCAAACTCCGCAAAAAAGCTCTCCGGGAGAAAGCCAGAGCTGAGCTGGCCTGGCTGAGCCACCAGAAACGGTGAGGGGGAGACGCGTGGGCAGGACACCACAGGCCTGCCCTCACGGGACGAGTCCTCCAGCAGGAGGAGGGGGTGTCGCTGACTGCTTAGAGGAAAAAAAAACTGTCCCGGCTCGGGGGAAGAGAGCAAATATAAAATCCTTTTCTTACGGAGTAAATGCAGGTGAAGCAGGAGAGGAGTCTGCACAGTTTTATTCTCTCAGGGCACAGCTGAGTTCCCTGTGCAGCCTCCCTCAGGTGGGGTGTGAGCCCCTCCCCAGCGCTGACTGGGCTGAGGGCCCCTCGTGTGAGGCGGCCGCGGTGGGCTGGGGCACCGTGAGGTACAGTTTGAGCCCCCCCAGCTCATGGTGTCCCTGAGGGGTTGGTGCTGTGTCCCGAGTGCTCAGGGAAGGGCGGCGGCCTTGGCAGAGGTCGGGGTGACATGGCGCCAGGGGGGTGAGATGTCCTCCGAGTCCAGCAGAACTTCCTGCAGAGCCTTCCGTAGCGATTGCTGCTCCGAGAAGAGCTTTGCTCCTATCCCTGGCATTGTCTTCTGAAGGGCATAAAATTCATGGCGTTTAATTATCTGATTGTGATCCCCATCCTTGTCTGGTCTCCAGCTGTCTGGAAAACCTGCAAGATCGTAAGGGAGCCTCTGCCATGGCCGCAAGACAGCGCAGAGTCCTGATGGAGCTGAGACAGGAGCAGGTAATGCTGCAGCCAGAGGAGCTGGATTTCATCTTCTAAACAGCAGGAGGATGCAACACAGGAGGTGTCTGGAGCTGCTGGAGCAAGTGGAGTTTGTGTTTTTTTTTTAAAAAAAAAACAAAACAAAAACAAAAACTCGCTGGTGTGATTTCACATGTGTTATTCTGCTTTGCTTCCTACATTCAGAGAGGTGGGTTTTGTGCCAAAGTCAGCACTGTAAATCTTAGAGAAAAGGCAACATGAAAACAGCTTTTTTTTTTTTTCTTTTCTGCTACTCCACTGTTATTGTGGATTTTTCTATTTGTGCCATAACAAACAGGTCATATAATGTAGGCTTCCACTGATTTATGCAGATTTATGCTTCTGATGTTGAAATATATTAAATAAATCTGACAGCTAATTTTATAGTCTCAGTTCTCCTGCTACTGAGGGGAATGCTGAGGTCGTAATTACAATTTGCAGTCAGAAAATTTGTCCTACTCCTTATGTAGTACAAGCCTCTCCTTTACTTCAGGGAATTCCTATGGAAACATAGTGCAAACCACAAGCATCTTGTAGTTTTGGATGACCTGAATTCATAATATTCATTTCCAAAGGTCTCAGCTCTCAGACACCCCATCTCTCAGGCAGTGAAATATCCCCTTACCTGTCATCAGTTTTCACAAGTAACCCCTAGTCAGCATTAGTGAAAAATAAAACTGCAAAAAGTGTTTACAAAAAAAAAAGATCAAAACCTGCAGTTTGAATTTTCAGGATATTTTATGAGTAGTATGGCCTTACATTAAGAAATACTATACACATTTTTAAGTAGGTCTCTTTTTATCTTAGCTCTCTTATCCGCCTTTCTTTTTCTACTTTCTTTAGGCAGAAATCCAGCACCTGCAAAACATGTACAGGGCAGCCCATCAAGAAAGAAAACTCTTACTAAAGCAGCAAAGAGAAATCTTGATGATGAAGGATTCAACAGCACAACTCCAGGAAAAGATGCATAATTTGGCTGAGAAGCAAGAGTTTAAGTCACAGTCACTAGATGTCTCGGTGGGTTTTTTGAGTGGATGATGGCTGAAGTCAGAGCTGACACAACAGCCAAGGAACCCATCTGAAACCTTATGTATTATCTTTTCCTTTTAGCTTGCAAGGACCCCAGCAACTGAAGAAGCAATAAATCTGAAGACAATGAGACTTATTTCTAGTCCAAAGTTACACTCCTCTTCAGCAGAGTCTACAATCCACCCAGGAAGGCCTGATCTCTCAGGGAATAGCATGAGCTGTGTCCAGCTAAAGAGTGAACAAAGCAAGAAATGGGAGGGGTAAGTAAAAACAATAGCAATAGCTGAAGATAACCAATCCAGTGGAGAAGATGGAAGCAGTTATGCCCTAGATAACTGTGTCGTACATAAATGTTCCCAAGAGAGAGTTTTATAATGATAAATTTTTAAAACCTCTGTGTTCAAGCAGTTGATGCGTCAAGATCACTGCTTACCATTCTGACCAATATTGTCTCATTATTTATTTGTGTCCTCCATATGTCCAACCTACCAGCTGGTATCCAAAATGGTTAACTCCTCAGGGCAAGGACCAGCTTGTTGCAAGGTATGTGAACAGCATCGAGTAAATTAAGGTGTCTGGCTGGCTCCATAGCTGGAGATCCTTTCCATATCACTTGGTAAATTCTTCAGGTAGAATACATTCATCATTTCAAGTCTGATTCATGCTGAAAAAAGCCATGTTGGTCTGCCATCATAAGCTTATTGCCCCTGGAAGGGGGCTACACAGGGTAACAAACTATTTAATCCTGAGTGCAAAAGGTGGAGTAATATTTGTTCCCCAGGCAGCTGCGATTTCATTAGGCTGGCTCCTTGCTCTTGCATTCAGTGTCACAATCCTCCATGCTTTAAGAAAGCTAATCCTTGCAGGCTTTATAGAATAATTTTAAACCTTGCATTTTTGTGCAAGCAGGTAAACACATTTCACTGCAAATATCTCCCCTGTAAAACGTTAAGCACTGTTACCTGTCTGTGGGGCTGGGGACTGCCGCTGCCATGTTAGGAACAAGTGTAACTTTGACATCAGGTCTAGGCAAGCTAATTTACATAGCATTAATAACCAGGATGTTGTTTAATGATGCCACATAACTGCTAATGATAGTTCACATTTTCACGGTGGCTTTTAAGTACAAACTCAAAACACTTTGCAACTATATATTAATTAGACTTCAAAATACCCATAAGGAATGAGTAGCAATGTATTGATTTAATTGGTGAAATTGGCTCCTTTGTCATCCTCTGGCTCTAAGCCTATGTATCACTTAACCCCTCAGAGCAGGTTTGTGTTTCACTTAGGATTTAACCATGGAAGGCTTTTTGTACTACACAGGGCTTAATTTTATGCTTAAACTGAAGCGTGGAGGTGTCATGTAAACTGCTCCAGTCAGAGGTAATTCAGGAGCTCGGTCAGACTGCTCTGAGAAAGTGCTGTGTCCCCTGCGTCCCCATTTGCTTCCCGCTGAGCTGGAGGAGCTGGGCAGTGCAGGTGAGGACCCAGCAGCAGCCACACTGCTCATAACAGCAGTCTTCCTTTTTTAAAAAAAAAAAAAAAAAAAAAAAAGTCTATTTTGTTTCAGAAAAAAAAAAAAGTCAGTTAAAGACAAATATATATCTATATGAATTTAAAAAACCCTTTCATTCAGTGTTAGCCAGACCTTTAGCAGACTGGTGAGTCAGGTTTGTGCATTTACTTAAGTCCCCACAGGGAAAGGCTTTCAAATAAATCCCTGCATGGAACCGATCTATAATTCATGGTGTTATTGATTACAAGTCACAGGAATCTTTAAAAGGTTTCTTGGCTGTGCTTTCACTTCTTATTACTGACAAGGCTGCTCATAGGAGAACAGTGAATATTGGCGTCAGTCTAGAGCAGACGGGGCCTGGTGGAACTCACAATGCACCCAGACTCTGGCTGCACTGTGATTGTGGGTAGATCTTTCCCGTGTAAGAGTGCGGGGTGGTAATGACACTGTCCATCCATCAGCGCAGGTATGCTCCTATCATACACGGATCAGGAGAACAGTTAATGATCAGGGCTGAAAGCGTTAGGGAAATAACATTAAAAATGAAAGCAAATTGAAATAATAGATTACCAATACACAGAAAAAGCTGCTGGTTTGGGGTTTTTGTTAATGGATGTTAAATACTAGCAAGAAGGAATATAGAAACTTGTGATTATAGTAGATGGACAGGTTTTTAGCTAAGAATTGGGAATATATCTTCTGAATTGGGATACTTATTTTGAAGTTATTAAACATTAGTGGTGTTGAATAGTACATAGGCCTGTCTTTTTCACATTAAAGAAAAACGAATAGGGTTTTAGCTTCTAGACCCTATTATATTGTTAATTATAATCTATTCAAGAACATGTTTAGCTCTTTAAAGTATGCTTGTAGTAAAAATCAAAGAACCAAAACAAAAAGCCCACATGTAGACTGCTGTTTTTTCTGGACAGAGTAACTTACTCACCTGTGTATTCTAGAACTTGTACCACTAACGGAAAAGTCTGTGCTATGAATTGTGTTGCCTTGTGCTTCTGCAGTAAGGAGACTGCTTAGAAAGTTCAAAGTCACCATCACAATCAGTAGCTGATGTCCATAAAGTTGTGATGCTGTATTTAAAGTGGAAAATTTAATGAGATCTGTTGGAATCTGATATGGTATCATCGACTGGAAATGTGGGAGGCACACAGGTTCAAAGTTTGACTCTGGTTTTGCCTTTTCAATGCTGATGATTTCTTCAGTCTTCTCCTATTCTTGCCTGTAAAGATTAGAAACCTGACTACATAAAAATACAGTATCAAGTGAGAGGGAGGGTAATGGAGAAATAAATACACTATTCAGAGTGCTTCTGGCTCTACTAATTTGCTGGTTTATAAACATATGTGTATGTGAGCACTCTACTAGTACTATCAAGCATACCAGAAGAATTTAATTCATACCCTTATTGACTTCATATAGATCGGTCATGATTAACTTGGGAACACAAAACCAACTCCCAATCATTAATTCCTTGTCTAACTGTTTACAGCTTTTCTACTGACAACAAGAAAACACTGGTACAGTACCAGAAACAGGCAGAGGAGTCCCCAGGTTTGGAGCAGACCCTTGGTTTACGAGGTCCTGATGCATCTGAAATGACGGCCAAGAAAGTGTGTGGTGCTACTAGTCAAACCACAGGCTCGGTCTTTTTGTTTGAAGACTGCAAAAACACAGGTACCCAATAAAGAAGACTCCTGTAGCAAACCATGTTTGTGACTACTCAGTCAGACTGAATGACTTGGGGCAAAAGTTGAAGTCTGAAAGATCATCTGAACTGCTCCAAAGAACAGCTCAGAAGAGGACTGTTGGAGCTAATCTGCCCACCAGAGGCAACTTGTGATGTTGATCTGTTCCTTGGTTACCACCAGGTTGGGTTTTGGTACCAGGATCTGTTCAGGATTAACAAGAAGAAGGTGTAACAAAGGTGTAAATTGTTTTGTTGAGGTAATGGCTATGCATAGATGAAGAAAGAGAGAAAGAGTGGAGAAGTTTCTGGAAGTGGGCTTTACAGATGCTCCCATGTAACTGGATGATACGTAAGGTGATGACAGGATAAATAAGGTCCTTTTGGCTTCTGCTGGTGTGACAAGGAACATGTAGAGTAAAACCAAGTTACTCAAACTATAAATATACGTTTAAGCCTTTTTTGACAGAGCTAAACACAAAACGACAATAAATTTATTAGTGGGGGAAAAAAATGCAGCATTGGACACATTGTAACTTAATTTTGTACCTTTCAGAGCTTGATGCTCAGGATCATGTTTTATTACCTCTGGAACATGCAAATTCAGCTAGAATGGATGAACCTGCATCTACCCCCATTACAGGAGCAGGCAGAAAGTGTCTGTTTCCAGTAAGGATCACCTCTGGAACTCCAGTTCTGCCTGAAGAAATGGTGCCCCAGGTTAGATTTTCCTTAAGATAGGACCAGCACAAGACTCATGTGGCAGTTACGAAGATCAAGTAGAAATCAGACTTGTGTGTTGATGATGTGCTCTTCAGCTAAAGACTAAATTTTGACACAGGCTGATTTACCACAACTTCCCTGCCCCTTACATTTTCTCCATGTGGCTAACTGGTGACAATGTGTTTAAGACATCTGTGGGTACGTGCTGTGCTGCTTCGGGAGAAACTAAACCAAAAGTGCAGTAAACTATTATTTACCCATAGCAGCTGCACAGACTAGTCCCTTTCCTATTTCCTACACCAGTGACACAGCCCCAGTGTGGGTATGTATGCCCAGGGGTCCATACGTGCTTATATATCTCAGCGTGGACATGCAGATTTAATTTCTGATCTCTTAATTATTCTTTCTGCCAGCAAAGTCCTTTTCCCTTAAGACATTAACTCTGTCACTTAAATATTTACATTGTAGGAATCTGTGCTGGAGGAAGAGGTGCTTATTTCAAACCCAAAGATAGATCCTGAAGACAATGAAGATATTAATCCATGTGACAGCAAGTTCACAGTGAAAGGCTTGGGGATGCTTTCTACTTTGTGTAACTTATGCCTGGTTCAGGCAGAAAATACTCTTCAAGGAACTGGTAAATCATATTTAATGCTATTATGTCCAATCTGTTTCAACCACTTCCATCAAACTTTAATCCAGACAGAAGGAGAGACAATCTTCTCATTTATTACCTAAGTGTCTTGCTCACTAGACCCAATATATAAATCATTGCTAGGCAAGATGGTGGAGATATCTCAAAGGTTTATTATGAGATATGATTACGCTGTTTCCTTAGAACAAAATCATAACTTATTCTGATTGTGTCATTAACAATTTACTCTCTTTTGAGGCATTTTAAAAATAATTTAAGGGTGTTCTTTTTAAAAGAACATAGATCAGTCGAAGATAGACTTCGACAGGACACGCTGGAGTTATTTTTATTTCCAGGTTTTATCTCCAGTTCATATTTCTTCCTCTCAGTAGGACATATACAAATAAAACTGGCTGTTTATATATGAGTCAGTTATATCATTTACATAGTTCTGGATATGCATAATCTCTGTATTATAAATATTTACATATTGTGGCAATATTTTGTATTTGTGTTATTCTTTCAATGAACTATCTTTCTGTATTTACTCCTAGATACCTCAGTGAGGGAGACTATAGAATTGTGCAATTTAGACTTAAAAACAGCGGTCTTAATGACAGAAGTCTGGTATAGGCTGCATGTTAACTAGATTCTTAAGCCTAGCTTTGAGCATGTGGACATCAAATTGCCTGAAAGAAATCCTGTACCTCAGGCAAAGAGAAATCTTTCCATGGGCTGCCATAAACTCCAGCAGCAAGCCTTAGATCCTTGTAGTCATGGCTGCTTTGTGTAGCTGAGATAAAGAATCACCCTGTATTTGCCTTCTGTGCCAATAATCTGTGTATTTCAGGTGTTGCTACATCATCCTTAGAAGAAGTAGAGAAAGCACATGAGGATCAAAGCAGTCATAAAAGTCTAAGAGAAAAGCAGGACCCTTGCAGCCCATTTCAGGCATGTGGCAAGATTATAATTCATCTGGGTTTTTCTCACATAAACTTTTGGCAGAAGAAATCCTTAGTATTGGCTGTCATGGAGATATTGTGCTTGGTACTCAGCTTGCAGACAGAGAAGCTGAAGTTGTACTGAGGTTTTGTTGTATCGTGTTCAAATAGTGCTCTTGGGTTTTGGGCAAGTCCAGTAGCAATTCACTGGTATTCTTTAGGTTTGCTGTATATTCAGTGATTCTTGATCCTACTCTCTGCAGGCTGGGAAAAAGAAGAAGGATCCTTCCTCTGATGATGAAGATGAGGAAAGAAGATCAACGTTGATTTCAAATGGAGTTACATTAGTGAAAACCCAGTTAAGAAAAGAAAGGTCATCAGAAGAACAGAGGTACTGTACCTGTCAAGGCTGAAACTCTCAGTCCTACCTTCCAGTTCTCTTACTGACATGTCAAACCTTGCCTTGCTTGTTTTATACCCATGGCTGTGGTCCTCTTCTGGAAAGCAGAGGCAGACCTGAAAGACATTTTTTTTGGTCTTGTATAGCTTAAAACCCCCCAACAAAACCAAACACAAAACCCCAACACACAGAGGCCAAACCAAACAAACAAAAAAAATCCAACACCAAAAATCCTTTTGTAAAAGGAGTTTGATATAATTCTTGTCACATTCATCAAGCACTCTCTGCCAAGCTTTACCAGACGATCTAATTCTATGGAGACAGTCAAAGGGGTGTTTTGGGCAGGGGTGGAATTGTCTTCAGAAGGCTGTGGGCTAGACAGAAAGCATCTGAAGTAACAGGTAAACCACTTTGCATTATGCTGTCTGTAGGTAGCAAATACACCCAAAGATATTTAATGTTCTACTCAACATTCTTGAATGACCGTGCGTACCATACACTTTGTAACTTCAATGTAATTCAACTATAACGTTATGTTTTCAGATTTAGCACAAACTCTGAGAGAAAACTGGAAATCGCACGTATAGATGAAAAAGCACCTTCTGAAATCTCTTTGTCAGAAGGTAAGAAATACCTTTTCCCAGTAGGGTTTCTGTTGTTATTTAATGTACGGCCTGAGTAATGGCTCTTCCTGGAGTTTGTCCATAGAGGATAATAGCCTCCTACTTGTATCAGGGAGTGAAGCTACTTATAGGGCTAAAATAATACAGATCTTTATAAAAATCCTGCACTCAAACTCTTCTCATCAGCTACACTGGACACTATTGTATTTGCTACATTACTGAGTTCCTCATCTTTATTTGATGTCTGATTTTTTAAATTTTTTTTTTGGTACAGTAATATTAAAATCAGTCCTAATCTTGGCTATGTATTTAATGCTACTGTCTTCTGAATGTACTTTACAGCTCAGGATTACTGGATTTGCATCCTAAACTACCTGTTGGCAACCTCTTCTATTAAACATTTTTTTTTCTGAAATGCTGATTTTTTATTTTTTTTTTTTTAATTTCTTTTAAATGTTTCAGTTAAAGAAGTGGAAATGCCTGTTCCTCATGAGATCCATCAGGTGGATGCTAGTCAGTGTTTGAAGCATTTGGACCATATTTCTCATGAAGCTTCTGATGAAGAACTGAATTTAAAAGCTTTTTCTGAAGGATTAGCTTCTACTGAATCATCGTCCAAGTCAAACAACTTCTCTCCGAGATGTGAAAGTGCCAAATCAGACTCTTCACTCCCAGAGTTTCAGAAGGTGTCTGCAATTTGGATTGATATCTCAGAAAGCTCCATTTCAGACTCTGAGTTAGAGCTGAAAAACGGACAGGACACAGATGTTAGCATCCCAGAAGAGTTTGTCTCTGACAACGCTGATGTGTTTCCTAATGTTTCAAAAGAGATGCTAATAGCAATAAGTAATGGAAAGGAGACATTACCGAGTGACAAACATGATGATCATGAAGTGCCTGACGATGACAGCACTGAGACTTCATCACACTCCCAGAAATACCCTGGAGATGTTTCAGATCGTGTCTGCACGGATGATTTGCTTGCTTTCATTCCATCAGGCAAAATAAATGCCTCCAAACCAAAGTCAGCAGATTTCTCCCAACCTGATAACCCTGCCAAGGGAATGGATGAGAAACACCTGGGTACCTCGGAAAATTACAATAGAAACAAAACCTGTTCTCAGCAGATCATAAAACAGGGTAAAGATGCTGTTGCCAGCTCTTCAAGCAGTGATGATATTTACTCACCTAAAATGAACACAACGAAACTTAGTTCTACAACTAGCAGAGTGAAAAAGGATGGTGGAATTAACAGATTATTTGTAGATCAAAATAAAGACCTAATGGGGTTTCCACTGACAGGTTCTTTGAAACATCTAGATTTGGTTACTGACCAACTTAGGTGGCAAGGAGACAGTGTTCCTGACAAAGATACTACAAATAACAAATTAATAACATGTCTATCTTCAAGAAACTTATCAGTTTCAGGAGGCAAAAATAATCATGCACAGCTTTTGAATGAGAGACTCACACCCAGTAAACTCAGTAAGGTTGTATCTCTGCCCACATCCGTGCCAGGAATTTCTGAGGAAGTCCACCCAGAGACCAATTCACTGGAGTCTTTGCAAAAGGTGGCCACAGGAAATCAAAACAACTCAACAAGTGAAAGACAAACCATAAAGGAAGCAAGGAGGGGACTGTTTTCTCCTTTCTCCTCAAAAAGGCAATTGTTTCAAGCTGAGAACTGCTCTTCCAAAGGTGAAGGTGACACCATTTTTATTAGTGACGAGGGTGTCCCTCCAACTGATGAGGATACGTTGTCAGAAATCCTGTCTCCTGCTGATGAAGTATTGTCCTATGGAAGTGCTGACTTGCCATCCCCTAATAAAAAGGATTTGTCATTTCCCAGTGAAGATCTTCCTCCTCCCCCTTTAGGTGCAGATGCAATGAAAAATGATGATTCTACCTTCAGTATGGATGACTTCCCATCTCCACCAGAACAAATGACAGTCTCAGAGACTAGACAGTGTATGGATGAAGATGTATCACTGAAAATGGATGCATTACCCCCATTACCCGATAACACTCTGCCTAAAGAATTTCCCCTGCTCAATCGAGAGAAAACTGATGCTTTTTCAACTCAGGACGGTAGTCTCTTGGAACAATCTTTAGTTAAAACTATTTCCAGTGCAAAAGAGGGTTCAGAATACCAACAAAGAGAACAGGAGGCAGCTTTGCAGCATTTGGAGTTTCTGCCTGTGTCAAACACTGTTTCTTCTGATCAGGCCAGTAAAAGTCCCGACTTCATGATGAAACAATGCAAAACATCCTTAACACTGCCCAAAGATGAGGAGGACAGTGATGACCCACTATTATCTTTTGAAATTGGGGACAGGGTGTTAGTAAAGCAGACCCAGCCTGGAACCCTGATGTTCAAAGGACGGACTTCTTTTGATAGTGGCCATTGGGCTGGTGTTGCACTTGACAAAGCTGAAGGTGATAACGCTGGAACTTATCAAGGGGTGAAGTATTTTGAGTGTGCTCAGCACTGTGGCATCTTTGTCAGACCTGATGAGATTTCACATCTCTTGGGGGCTAATGAAAATGGTTCCGATTACACTGGGGATGAAGACTCTGACTCCTGTGATGAGGAATCCTTCAATGGAGACTGCAAATATTCTGAAGACGGTGAGCAGAGAGCAGGGTTTACAGAGGAGAAAGCAGAAGACACAAAAAGTGCAGGAGAATCAGAAGTGAAAGAAAACCAGTCTAGGTTACATACTGCCTTGCAGTCTGGAAAAGGGCAAAAGTTTCCACATTCTGACCCGTGTAAGTGTAATGAGTTCCTCTGTCCAAATAACTTAATATGCTTGGGATCAGATAAAGAAAAAACAGAACTGGCACAAATAAAACAAAGGATATTTGCAGATGTGCTTCTAATGAAAACCAACAGAGATGAGGTAAACACAAGCAAAAATATTTGTTGCTTGGTAGAAGATCAGAAAAGAAATAAACTTGCTGATGACATTGCAAGTGAACTCGGTACAAAGCTTCTGTTTGACACTTTAATTGCAGTTTCTGAAACGGCTCAACACAAATATAAAAGTGCCTTTGAAAAAGACACAATGAATTATGGCAAAGGCCTAAGACAAGAAGACAATCAGAAACTGTTTCTCCTCAAAGAAAATTCAGTTGCTATCTTACCTGAACAATCAGCAAATGTTTCTGATGTTTTACTGTGTGGTTTTGATATGCTTAGCATTCGTAGTTGTCACACGGTAGCAGAGAGAATTGTAACTAAATTTGTAGATGATGCAGTTAAAGAATATAAGAAGATTAAAAGAAAACACGGATCAAAAGCAGACAAGATATTTTATTCATCTTCAGAGACTTCTCCAACTACTCTGCCAGTAAGTACAGTGAGAAAGTTTTTGTCTAAAGCATTGGACCTGAAATTGGGTCTATGCATTATATTGCCCAGTTGTTTTTTATTATCCATAAAAATTACATCATGTCAACATTTGGAACCAGATTGCTCACTTAATCTGACTGATTGCACATTTAAGGAATTATCCTGCAGCCAGTGGACAGCAAGTGTATGGGGGGACAAGGATGAGCTGAGCAGGGGAATCATGACTACAGCTAGTCCAAACAAAGCAAACACAACTTTTTTGTGGGAATTTGTCAGTTAGTGAAAACTGATAAATCTGCACAAACTTCAATTCTGATTAATTTCAGAGCAAACCTGGACACCTGTCAGATCATCTGCCTGCCTCCTCTGCAGCTCCTGACTGTGAGACCTGCAGCTTTCTAATTTGGTATTAGCTCTGCAGGCAGCTTCTAGCAAAGTCAAGACCCTCAGAGCTGCCAGACTCTCCCTTTTTGTTCAGCCCCTTGGGAGACTTGAACTCCAAATGAAATGGAAGCTTTTGATGCCTGCTGCTTCCAATCCCACAGTGTCTAATTTATACTTAAATAGTCCATCAGGAAATATTACCACAAAAAGTTAAAGGTTTTGCTCTGGGGGGAGTGGGGAGAGTAGTTCACTTTTGGAACAAAAATGCTTCAAAATGTCAAAAACTTGTATAGAACTCCAAATTTGGAATTCTTTCTAATTCTGAATTCTGCCAAATACAGTTAAAATAGGTATTTTTAAATGACACATCAGTAAGCCTTTCTTTCATCACATGAGTATGAAGATGGCTTTAAAGTGTAACCCTAATCACTTGCTAATAATCTCAATACCTGTAAAAATTGTGGGAAAATACGGAGTACGTCACCTGGCTTTTCTTTTTCTCTCTACTGAAGTTCCTTTTAAAAATCCTTGATGCTGGTGTTTTTGGAAGCTCTGAAGATTTTGATCAGCCTAATTCTGACCAACATATGCTGGCAAGGCAAACACAAAAGCAATACTTGTACAAATTAGATCAGTGGCACTCAGCTCCTTGGAAGAAAACTGTGGAAGTTCCTCTTGTGATACCACATTACAGTTCATATGTTAAAAAATTGTCTGCATATGCTGTAGAAGAATTATGGATCCCAGAAAACATATATTCAAATTTCAGTGTGCCAAAGCACTTTGAATGTAATGATCTCCCAGGGAATGATTTGGAAACAGAAAGCAAGAGGATGTATAATCAGGTATTTTTAAAGCACTATTATTAAACCTCTCTAGTGTTCTGTAGGCTGACTCCTATTAGCAAGTACTTAGCATTATTTTAGCTGCTAACACTCAGTATAGCTAAAGGAACACTGGAAGAGGTGTTGCAAAATACTGCTTCTGGTAATCTACTGCAAGATAATTTTACTAGAATAATGATGTCCTTGCTGTGATACAAGCTGTTTGCTAAAGCTCGTCAGTCATACGACCCTGGACATCTAGCCCAGTGTCTGTCGTGTCTGTTCAGAAAAAGTCAAGTTTCTTGGAAAGCTGCAGACTAAAAAGTCCAAGTCTCCTGCCTTAGATGTCCTTCTGAGTTTGGACAGATCTTCATGTTCCTCAGAACCCTGGAACTATTGAGTTTTGTGGACCTCTGCCTACACGAGGAGGTCAAAGGGTCCCATCAAGGCCTCTTGTACAAGCCACCCACGCTTAGTGTTCACGGGTGACTGTCCAATATCTTCTGCTGCGCAGGTTTACAGGCTCTCGAGGCAGTGGTCACCGTGACATCAGCTATAGGAAACACCAGGGATGTAGGTGATGTTAGGAAATTTTGCCCCGAGATGCAAACCTCTGCTGTCACCAACCTACCATCCTTCAAAAGAACCGAGAAAACTTTTGAAAGGGCACCAGTGAGAGATTCAGTTTGTGTTGGTGCTGTACGTCTGTTGTCACAGGTTATATTTGATTTGACCCATGAGTTGCTGTGTGCAGAATATCAGGTGACTGCAAATCCAAATATGTTTCCATGGATGAAAGAAAATTTGGGATCTCGCTGTTCCAGCAGTCTTTGCAGAAGAACAGATGTCAATGATGTCAAGGTACATTCTGGAAATGTGAAGTGTACAATAACAAGAGTCAGTGAAGAGAGCAGATGTTGCAGTGGCAAAAGGACGAAAATGTGAAATTTGGGAGGATTATGGCAGTGTAACTGAGGTCATTGGGGAAGAAAACAGAATTGCTCTGAAATACAGACTGAGCTGATTAGTTTAAATACTTCAAGAGCATGGAATTGTGTAGAGGAATAGAAATTGGGCTTCTAAATCTCCCTGGTTATAACTATCGTGGGTGTAACCTCTAAAGTGATCTGAGGTTTAAAATGTGTTGGTTGGCCAGTATCGATCAGCTGCTTCTAGAACAGCTCCCTAAACTTTGGGTGGTTTCTAGATTTAAAGCTGGATGATCACAGTGGCACCTGTCACTCATTTGCAACCTTCACAGAGTCAGAATTCCTATGAGAAGAATTCTTTTCAGCCTTTTTAATTTTGTAGATGTTTGTTCAGGGTGAAATTATTAAAATAATGAACCTGGAAAAGAATGATTTAGACACAAAAAGAAAATTCCTTAATATGATCAAGTATGGAAACTGTAAGAGAGACAGAGTGGACCTTATTCTGGTAAGCAGACTCCCAGATGGAGATTAGTTTACTTTCTCTTCTCGTGCTTTTGTGAGAATCAAGTTTACTTAAAATAAATTCAGAACTTCAAGTTATTGCCTTCCTTTTCAGTACACTTGCAATAATAATCCAGTATTTCCAGTTCTTGTGAGTAGTTTAAGTTAAATAAATGAACAATGCATATATAAAGTTGTTAGATTAGGTGCAGTGCCTCAGTACCCTTCAGAACTGATCATGCTCTTATTCTTGTAGTAAACATTCATATCAATTTTTATGTTTTAGATTCAGGAGCTCTGCAAAGAAGAATCTCAGTGGACTTACTATGGTGATGATGAATTAACTGTGAAGATGAGAATGACTGAAGACATATTTGATAGCTTGATCCTTGATACAATCAAAGTTCTTAATAAGATTTATCTGAGAAAAGCCTGTGCTTAGAAGTATTTCCCTAAAAGGCCCTAATGGAGGAATTTTAATCCCTGACTTCTTTAGACGAGAAAAGCATGATTTAACAATTGTAATTCTGAACTGGTACCTGATACAATTTTTATGTTCATGTTTAAAGGATGCAAGTAGAGACTTAAGCAGATAGAAAAATATTACACAAAATATTTTCCTTGTGTTTTATGCTTTGGGAATGCTCTTTGTTATCATGTTCAGGTTGTGAATGATGACATGTGCATTATATTTTGAAAATAACATTCAGAAAATCATAGGTGACTGTCTTAAGAATATAAGTGTGAAGATAGAATTAAATCTCTTGGAAACGGAATTGCTGTGCACCTCTGTAGTTTGGAATAAACCCCTCTAACTGGAACAACTCTAAAACTTTTCCTCAAGGGCACAGCAGAGTTAAAGGTGTCTGTGCACCTTTCCTTTTTTTTTTTTTTTTTTTTTTTTTAATATGCTGTGGAACTGGTTAAAAGTAGCCTGGAGATGTCTTCAAGAGACATGTCCTATGGAATGATCTTGCCCTGGCAGGATCTAGAGACAGATATTCAGTTTTAACGTTTACAAATGAGACACATACTGATGTAATGCACTTTAAATAGGATGCTTTTATGTTGGCAACTCCAATTTCTGAAAATTTAGTATGTGCATGCAATTAGGTTATTTATCATGCAATTCACATGAGCCCTTTGAATTCTCACAACATCTAAACATAGGGTGCTGGCTCTGAATTTTAATTGGTAAAACAGAGGAAATAAATAATTCTATTCTTTTGCATTGGCAAAATTGGAAAAAACAAGATATTTAACAAGAAAAATAAGCATTCCCTGAGCATGGTAACTGTTCACTATGTAGATTGCTGTGGTCCCACCGATTTTGCATGGAGAAAACTAATGATAAATTTTTATTTGTTAGTTTTTAAAAATAAATATTGAGGAACTATTTCTTACTGGAAATCAGAAACTGTTCATTATTGAATAGTTGAATGTAAGTAGATCTGACTTATTCAAATCTCATTCAGGGTTTTTACAATCTGGTTTTGGTGGGGAAAAACAGAAATAGAGTTTATGTTTCTATTTTAAAATACTGATGCCTTAACTTGTTTTCTGAATAAACAAAATAAACCTTAAGTATGTAATTCTTATTTATTTTTACTGAAATCGATTAGAATTGCAGATCATATTTTATACATTGCTGTTCTCATTAGTGAATGGGAGTAGCTTTATTGTTTTGCAGACAGCCCCTGGGGACCTTAAAATGCCCTGTCCTGCTAGTTGCCATATGAACAGAAATAAAAAGGCAACTTCTGCCCCAAGCGCATTAACTGCTGATTTTATCCTATAAGCTATTTTCATGTCCCTAGTGGTACATTTTCTTAAGTCTCGGACTTTTATCCTCATTGATTAATTAATCCAGATAAGTTATTTGTTCTAAGAGTAATGGTTTTTTCTTGTCAGTTTATAGTAGAATTTAACTCTTTTTTTTTTTTTCCGGACTCACAGACAAATTGTTGGATACAATGACAAATCTATATATTGAAGCACTACAGTTTTTCAGTTTTATTGTCACTATGGGTTCTGCAGCAACAGCAGGATCCCCGTGTTTGAATTGAAAGCTATTACAAATATGTCCTACACGTGTAAATGAATAGTTGAAGGACTCTTATTTCAACTAGTGCCTCACGCCACGCTATATGTTACACTTGAGGAAGGTAACCGTTATATTTGCAATTAGGTTTGTGAGTGAAGCCTGAACCCTTGCAAGATGCTATATACAGAAGGACATAGCTATAAAGTAACTACTGCTGATGAGAATAAAAGTGTATACAGAGCATGTCAGACATATTTAATATCTCCCACCATCCTGTGTTCAAAACCTTAGATTCTGGCACCCAGATATATTGACCTGTTCAGTCAGTGGCAAGACTTCAATATCAAGATTACTCTCCTTCAAGGTCTAAGATTTTGTTTGCCTTGGTTTTGATCAATATTAACCTCCTGGGTCAATAAATCTTGATACTAGCCTCAAGAGGAGTCATTATCTTTCATAGAAAATGATTATTTCTCAGTTAAACCTTACATTTAATTTTCTTGTAATCCATCTCTTTCATCTTCACACATTTAACAATTCTTCTGAATAAAACGCACTCTAAAATATCTTAGGCACTGAAGTTTTTTAAAATCCTAATTAGCAGCTGCCACAAGATTTTTTTCAATTCTTTGAAGCAGTTGGACTCCACTACTGTAACCACCTAATTCTGTTACTTACAGTACCCAGAGAGAATAGAGACAGAAAACCCCTGAGCTGGGATGTGATACAACTGCGTAATTTATAGTCGTGGATATGGATGTGAAAGATACGTGACTGAACTCCTTCAGGTATTAATGGTCAAGAGAAGAGAGGATCAGGAAAAGAAAAGGCAAAGGTGGCATAAATCTGTTACTCAGTTCTCAAGAGGATTTTTACTGTAAATAGGATCCCTGCCTTTGCACTGATGGGGGATTACCAGCCAGAAACAATGATAGACTAGATTCTAAGTGCCTGAAGTAAGAATTTGGACACATTAGTTTCCTACTTGTTCTTGAAGGATTAAAAGCAGCATTTGTGAGTAACAGAAACAAGAATTATCTTTTCAGGGACCTGCCTTTCATTATCTGAGTTTTAAACTCTTGTGAAGTCGCCCTCTGGGGACATTGTTGGTTTTCCGTCGCTTAATGTAATGAAAACTCTTGAGCCTGTGTTTACAAATGAGACTTTCGTACTGTGGCTACAGCTGTAAAAGATGCTACAATCCATTACCAGTGCACCGCCAGTCTGCATTTACTAAAAGGGCAGAGTTTCTGACATCCACCTCGGAGCTCACAGCGTCCGACACGCAGCCTCTTATCGCGTCTTCGGTTTTGAGGAGAAACGACTCTTTCCTGCCGAGTGATATACTTTGGGATCAAACAGTTCTCGACCCAAAGGCTGGGCCTTTATAATCTCTTCTCAGTGAGAAACTTCATGAAGTTGAAACTTCTGTAAAATCAGCGGCCAAGCTTTAACCTCATTAATTTTACTTTTTTTTTTTTTTCTTAGACAGTCCCCCTGAGTGAAACGCAGCTCAAAACGCAGCGGCAAGGGGTTTATTTGTGGTGTGTCCCTGTCACCAGCGTTTGGCAACGCCCTGGGGACTGTCTCTTATACAC